TGGACGAAAATATAGAGAAGAAGATGGAGGAGTTGATTGCCCAGATTCTGTAGAAGATAGAGAAGAAGATAGAGAAGAAGATGGAGAAGAAGGTAGAGAAGAAGATGGAGAAGACAAATGAGATTTTAGGGATTTGATTCTCAATTTGGGGATTTTACTATCGATTAATTAGTTTCGTTTAAGTGAAAAACGATGTCGTTTTGACTAACAGAAATCGATTAACGTCGGCTAAACGTCAGTTAACTAGTCTGTTAAAGGATTTGACGACGTGTTGGTTTTGGCTCGGTCAACAGCAGTTTATGATTTACAACAAAGTCAACATGACATAGATGCTTTAAATGGCCAGAGAAGAAGTTGATGATTATAATGGCCACAATTTGAAAGTTGATGATTTTAAAGACATTTTTCCCAATAATTAACTGTTCTTTTACTTATTTTGACCAAGTTCAAAAAGGAAAGTAAGAAGCGTCTCATGTAAGCCATTGGCAAGTTACGTTTTTACCCTTTTCTCCACACACGTGTGATGCGACATGCGAAGGGGTCTCTCTGTAAAAGGGACGATCATCGTAAAGCAAACAAACCCAATCGTCGTCGTCACTCACTCACCCCAACAGAGTAACTATTGATTTTATCGCTGCCGTGAGACCAAAAACATGAATTTCTTGCCTCACGATTCCGATTCCGAGTTTGCGTTCCGGTTACAGATGGAGGAAGCACTCGCGGCTTCTCTCTCTTCCCGATCTCGTACTCCTCAACGACCACCGTCGCCGCCTCCGGTTGTTGCTAGGTGTGGTATCGCTATCGTCGTTGAAGACGATATGAACCAACCTAAACCGGCTGAGAAAAGTAGAGGTTACGGTTTCGATTTTAGGAGAGCCGTCGGCGAAGGAAGCTCTAAAGGAAATGGCAAAACCCACGACACTGTCACTGGTGTACGTACGGATGTACGAAACCCTAACATTGGAGTCGGTAACACCCGAAACACTTCGGGAAACTTACCCTCGCAGGGCCAATCAGTCGGAGAGGGTAGCTCGAGGGTTCACGCTGCTGCTGGAAAATTCAACGGAAATGTACTGTACAGGCTTTACTTTAAGGGTTTAGTTAGCGAAGAAAGCGGCAAGGGGAAGATGACGGACGTCTTGGCTGGATTTGGGGTTGCTATTTGTGACCAGAGTGATAATTTGTTGTTCGAGATGAAGGGACCATTGGTTGACCATGGCGTGAGTCGTCAGGGAGCGGAGCTCAAGGCATTGATACAAGGACTAACCAAAGCTTTGACGTTGGGGATCAAACATATCGCCTTTTGTTGCGATACTTATCCTATTTTCCAATACGTAAGTTTCCCTTCCATGGCTATTCATTGTTACGATTCACTCTCTCACAATCTTTTTGTTGCTGAATCCGAATTCAAAGCTATGTTTGTTTTCTTCTGTTTTCTCGGGGCATTGACTACTAGGATAGGAACTTGTTGCTTGAATTTTAATGAGATTAGCTTATTTGGTCTGGAATCTTTAAAGTGTAGTGAATGTTTGTGTCTCTGTTGGGAGTTTTCATATGTAGATTAGGATGAGTAGAAAGGAAAACAAAATTCACGGTTAAGAATATGATAAGATGGAGTTGCTAACTCTAACATACCATATCGTGGCCATTTTGTAAGCCACTATCATATGTCTTCAGTTTGGCATTGTATAGATATGATCGCGCTAATGGTTTACTAGTTATGAGATGGTAGACTCTGACTTCTATGGTTATATGCTTGTGTTTTTCTGAGATCGTTTAGCTTGTGTTCTAGCTCTTCTTGTCATTATCTTACATAAGATTGTATTTTTACTTGAATGTAGGCCAGGGGAAGGTATGTGGCTAAGCAAAAGAAGATTTCCCTGTTGTTAAATGATCTACAAAGCATCATGCAACGCTTTTCATCTAGTCAGCCTGTTCTGGTGGCCGGAAACAATGTGAAATTTGCCTATAAACTTGCAAGGGAATCAATACTTTCTAAGGTCACCCCTCATGCAGAACCTCGCCAGGCAAAAGCAGCTCGGAAAGAGGAGTGTGCTATCTGTTTCAACGACATCTATGCTGAGCGCATGTTTGCTGTTGACAAATGCTGTCACCGCTTTTGCCTTCAATGTGTGAAACAACATGTAGAGGTGAAGCTGCTGCATGGAATGGTTCCGAGGTGTCCTCACGATGGCTGCAAGTCTGAGCTGGTAATTGATGCCTGTGGCAAGCTTTTGACTCAAAAACTGAGCAAAATGTGGCAACAAAGACTCAAAGAGAATTCAATACCTGTCACGGAGAGAGTTTACTGCCCTTACCCAAGGTGCTCGGCTTTGATGTCCAAAACCAAGATTTCTGAAGCTGCCAAGACCTTACTGTCTGTTTATCCCAAATCTGGAGTTAGGAGATGTGTTGAATGTCGTGGCCTCTTCTGTGTGGACTGTAAAGTTCCATGGCATGGCAATCTGTCCTGCACGGAGTATAAGAAATTGCATCCTAACCCTCCAGCAGATGATGTGAAGCTAAAGTCTCTCGCAAATAATAAGATGTGGCGCCAATGTGGCAAGTGCCAACACATGATTGAACTTACACAAGGATGCAATCACATAACTTGCAGGTATCTATCTATTCCTCTACGCTTTTTCAAATAAGACCATGTAATCTAAAGCACATGTTATAAATTGCAATGTTTAACTATTCAACGTTCCTCTTTGGTATTCTCCTTAGATGTGGACATGAGTTTTGTTACAATTGCGGAGGTGGATGGAACCTAGAAATGGGGACTTGTTTAAATCACTGCCCAACCTGGGACGAAGCATACATCAGACGTCAAGATCCAGCGCGTGAAAATGTGGCTCCTAACAACTACTTTGATGATGATGATGATGATGATGATGATTATGAGGATGGTTACGAATATGATGACTTCCACCACCTTGTTGGACTTGCGCATGCTATGGATAATCTTAAGCCTGAGGAGCCCTTCGACCCCTTCTTCGACTTGCCAGATGGTAATGTGACTTCCGGATCTCTCTAAAACCTTTAAATCTCATAGACTTGATACAAAAAGTACTCTCTGCTAATCCTGTAGGTGTGATATTTACCCCCGATATGCTATCTCCCAAGACTCGTCGCCAATTGTACATGTCGGATGATGATTCAGATGATAATGTTCCTGCAAATGAGTTTGACGAATACTTTGGAAAGTATGGAAAGTACAGTACAGTATACGACTCCGACGGCCTTGAAATTGAGGACTTCACGAACCCTTTCCATCCTGACTATCTTTAGTTTGGCACCAAAGATGGCATCTTTCTTTTTTATATTCCAGGTCCAAACTCTTTGCTATATGCTCTCTCCTCTTGAAACTTTTTGAGGTGCATGTTTCTTCTATGACTTGTTATGTATGACAGTATGTATGAGTTTGGGTTATCTTGGAATTTGTAGACAACTTGGGTTTCAAGTTAGGGCAATTTTTTCTCTTTTTTTTGACGTCTTTTGGTGAGTTTGGTTTCGGCTTGCGCATCTTTATGTTTCCCTTCAATGAGATTGATAGCGAGCTGAATTACAAATTTACACGCCATATCTTACGGACACAAAGATCATTAAAATCAAATTTGTAATTTCAATGATGGATCGTGTGAATCGTGATCGACTTCAAAATTTTGTAATTGATTATCGATTGTTTATTACCAAACTCAACGACGTAATTAGTGTAGTCAGAAATTAGTAATTTAGTAGAGCCTTACGAATGGGCCGGGATCGGGCCAGACAAAACCCAGTTTACATCGCCCACCCACCCACTTAGGCGAAATCGACACTTTTCTTTCTTTCTTTCTCTCAGTTTGTCAATTGTCATCACTCATCACTGTATCGGAATCTCCAGCCGGCCGGAGATATAAGTCGCCGTCTTTTTCTCTCCCGGTCACGAAAGATCCAACATTGGCGCTGTTTCTACGATTAACACAGATAAATTCACTGTATGATGAGTCCCTATCTATTGGGATATGCGGCAATGCAAACGTCTCGCAGTCAAGAAGCTAAGACGGAGATTAAAATGTGCTTTGACGTTTTGCTTGAGCTTTCTATAGCCTGCAGGTTCCTACTTTCCTAGTATACTAGTGTCATATTGAACCATTTATAAATGTCTCAAGTCAAATTCTATATTGTTCTGTGATGAGACGGATAATAAATCTGGTTATAATACTGCTCCTTAATATAGAGTTTCATCTCTAGACTATTATTTCATGAAGATGATCATGTTAACTTACATAGTTACATACATACTACTCAACAATAGAGAATGAATAAATGTTTAGAAAACCCCTCTGGGTTGTACTAAGCAAGCCTCTTGTGTTATTCTAACTATGTTTTTTTCTGTAGATGTACAAAACATAAACTTGTGGAAGACTACAGTGACCCTTCAATTTCTTATATGACTTGGACTGAAAATGATGGACTACTTACCTTGGAAACATCTTAGATTGCAAGGAAATTTTAATGAAATTCTATTTGTGCATCTTCTTTTTAAATGCTTGTCCTTTGAACCTAGGAATGTTATGAATTTGATAGGAGAATCTAATAATAGCATTTGTCTCCCTGCAGCATATTCTGAATAACCATTCAGGAAAGATGGTGGAAATTTCCTTCAAGCGTGTGGATACGATACTCTGACTTTGTTAAGGGTAAGTATGAGCCATGAGGTGGTCATTATTCAATAAAGTTGACCTTGACATAATATATAATATACATTACTGTATTTTAAAAGTGATCCATCTTATAGTATCCTATATTATCTTAACGCCAATAAGTATTTTGAGCCCCATATTTTTAATTTATACCGTGAAACACGATAGAAGTGTTATCCGTTAAATTAACACTTAGTTTAATGATTGACAAAAAAAAGAAAGACAACCTTTGAAGTCATATCCAAATGATCCACTGCTTCTGCCAACTGGAGACTTTGTTTTTATCAATAGATTTGTTTTGCACCGTCTCGCCCTTCCTTTTCAATGATCAGTCTTTTGGTATTTTCCTCTTTAAATAACTGTATTAAAGACCAATCCTTTTTCATCTCTTTTCTCTTGTCTCATGGAAATATTATTTTTGCTGTCTTCGACTTTGACAGGTGTTCGAAAGTCTTACCAACGGAAAAAGTAACACACCATAAAGATTCCAAAGCAGTCGTAATATTTTGACTATTGAAGTCGTATTCAATGGGTCTACCAACCAAAGGGAAAGAGAGATTATTGTTAAGCATTTGAGAGCAGATAGATAGAGAGTAAACAAAAACAAAAGAGAAACGATAACTCTCTCTCTGTTTGTTTTATCACCAATGATTCGAGGACTGCTTCTGGGGATCATCTGGGTGATATTTTTTGTTTGCTCATCATTTCAACAAGAGACGACGTTTGTTTACAACAACTTTGGCCAAGCTGATGATCATCTTTATTTTGACGGCAGTGCAAGAATCATTCCCAATGGTGGTGGCATCCTGCAACTGACAAATGCAACGAATAGTCAAATAGGTCATGCGTTCTCCAAGAAGCCTATTGAGTTCAAATCAGGTGAATCAGTCTCGTTCTCGACACATTTTGTGTGTGCACTGCTCCCTGCAGGTGATCCGAGTGGCCATGGCATTACCTTTTTTGTGTCTAATTCCACTGATTTCAAAGGTGCAGAGGCAACTCGATATTTCGGGATTTTCAACAAAAATGGATCTACTTCCACACGTGTGTTGGCTGTTGAGCTTGATATTTCTGTAGCTTCAGAGTTGTTTGACATCAGCGATAATCATGTTGGGATTGATGTGAACAGCCCTGTGTCTGTGGAATCTGCCAACGCTTCTTATTTTTCAGACAAAGAAGGGAAGAAGATAGACATAAAACTCTTGAGTGGGGATCCTATCCAGGTTTGGGTGGATTATGCAGGATCAACTCTGAACGTTTCATTGGCCCCTCTTAAAAACAAGAAACCAAGCCGACCTCTTTTGTCATCAACATCCATCATTCTTACTAATATTTTGCAAGGTAGGAGAATGTTTGTCGGGTTTTCTGGTTCAACCGGGTCTAGCATGAGTTACCAGTACATACTCGGGTGGAGTTTCAGCAAAAGCATGGCGTCTCTCCCCATCATTGACATCTCAAAACTTCCCAAAATTCCTCACACTAGGCTCACTAGCACTAAGCATAACTCTTCATCTCTTGTGCTCGATATTCTGCTTGGTTTAATAGCTTTCATAGTTTTGGGGATTCTTGTTGCAGCTTATTTGTATAGGAGAAACTTGTACTCTGAAGTAAGAGAGGAATGGGAAAAGGAGTATGGTCCACTCAGGTATTCCTACAAATCTCTATACAAAGCAACAAAAGGGTTCAATAGGAATGAATTTCTTGGGAGAGGAGGTTTTGGTGAAGTCTACAAAGGAACTCTCCCTCGGAACAGAGAACTGAGAGAAGTAGCTGTGAAGCGAGTATCACATGATGGTGAGCACGGTATGAAGCAATTTGTTGCTGAGATCGTGAGCATGAGGAGTTTAAAACACCGGAGCTTGGTTCCACTTCTTGGGTATTGCAGGAGAAAACATGAGTTATTACTGGTCTCTGAGTACATGCCAAATGGTAGTCTTGACCATTACTTGTTTAATCATGATAGGCTGTCTCTCCCCTGGTGGAGAAGACTTTTGATCCTCCAAGACATCGCATCAGCTCTTAGTTACTTGCATACAGAAGCTGACCAAGTTGTTGTACACAGAGATATCAAAGCTGCAAATGTTATGTTGGACGCAGAGTTCAATGGGAGGTTGGGAGATTTTGGTATGTCTAGGTTATATGACAGAGGGGCTGATCCAAGCACAACAGCTGCTGTGGGAACTGTTGGTTACATGGCACCTGAGCTTACAACAATGGGAGCTTCCACCGGAACAGATGTGTATGCGTTTGGTGTTTTCTTGCTTGAAGTAACATGTGGGAGGAGACCTGTGGAACCTGGATTGCCTGCTGCAAAACGTTTTCTGATTAAATGGGTTAGTGAATGCTGGAAAAGGTCTTCTTTGGTTGATGCTAGAGATCCAAGGTTGACAGAATTTTCACCCCAGGAAGTCGAGAAGGTTCTGAAACTCGGTTTGCTATGTGCAAACCTTGCTCCAGATTCAAGACCGACCATGGAACAAGTGGTGCAATACTTAAATGGGAACCTAGCTATGCCTGAGTTTTGGCCCAACTCTCCAGGTATTGGAGTTCTTTCTCCAATGGGGCTTTCACCAGCACAACTCATGATCCCTTCACTATCACTGTCGTCTTCTTCTTCCAACAACTCTATGTTTATTACTCACTCGGTCCTCTACGGGAGTGGACGATGAAAGTGTCTAACAACTTCCCTCTTCTTAGCCTCTTTGATATTTGACTGATTTTCAACCAGGTTCACCCGATTTTGTTTTATGTACATACTCACACTATGTTCATTCTTGACAGTCTCCATCAAGCTTGGCTTATAGAAAGGTTAAAAAAGACTGATATTTAGTGTAAAATCTTGAAGTTACTATACTAAACATTTGTAAAGCATGTTGTTTATCAGCTTTTGATTCAACGACAACCAGTGATCTAGTGTTCTGTAAAGAGAATGCTGCTATATGATCATTTTATGAAATTGTTTCTTTACAGGGTTAGATTATTTTAGAAATCTGACAGATATCAAAGACACAACAGTTTAGTTTTCAGCTAACCTTGTTCATGCTAGATCTCAGGTATCTGCATTATATTTTCGCAAATCAGACATCCTATGAGATGTTTCAGTCCATTTAAGTAGGCTCTCGACTTGTAAAGAGTTGAAATACTCAGAGATAGTGACAGTTCAACATTCTATATTTGTTTACGACAAGTAGGACTTGGTATGACAATTAGTGAGAAGCTCGCTTTTGAATACTGTTAAATTACACGGAAAATTCTGTTAAGTGGAATTCATGTATTCTTTTAACAAAGAAGACCAAAAATGTGACAGCTATGATTTTGTTTAAGTCAACTATCTTGAATTGGAAAATGCGAAATTTTCTTCTTGTGAAGCAATGATCCGACCTTGTTTCGCAGATGGGGAGAATAGTTCTTTGCCATACCATTGACTTAGAGACAAGATTTTTCCCGGAATAGCAAACACTTTGCTGCACTAAAAATGGCTCCAGGATTGGATCTGATCTGGATGGTGATCTCCTTTCTTCTTCTGATTCACCTGTCAAGTGAACAAGAAACTGGGTTTATCTTCAACAGTTTTCGCCAGGGAGATCTTCATGTTGATGGGGTTGCTCAAATCCTTCCCGGTGGACTTTTGCGGCTGACTGACACTTCAGAGCAGAAAATGGGTCATGCTTTCTTCAGGCAGCCTTTTGTGTTCAATTCATCTGAATCTCTCTCGTTCTCAACGCATTTCGTGTGTGCAATGGTGCGTAAACCAGAGGTTACTGGAGGAAATGGGATTGCTTTCTTTCTATCTCCTTCCATGGATCTTTCAAACGCAGATGCAACTCAGTATTTGGGTCTTTTTAACACCACAACCAACAGATCTCCCTCATCTCATATCTTTGCTATTGAGCTTGATACCGTTCAAAGTGCAGAGTTCGATGACATCAATAATAATCATGTTGGCATCGATGTTAACAGCCTGACCTCTGTTGACTCTTCTCCAGCATCTTACTTTTCAGACAACGGTCTGAACAAAAGCATAAATCTGTTGAGTGGAGATTCCATACAAGTCTGGGTGGACTTTGATGGAACTGTACTAAACGTTTCACTGGCGCCTCTTGGGATTCAGAAGCCAAGTCAGAGTCTTTTATCAAGATCCATGAATCTTTCAGAGGTTCTCAAGGATAGAATGTTTGTCGGATTATCTGCAGCAACAGGACAGTTGGCAAATAACCATTACATCCTTGGTTGGAGTTTCAGCAGAAGCAAGGCGTTATTGCAAAGCCTAGACATCTCAAAACTTCCACAAGTTCCTCATCCTAAGAAAAAACCTTCTATCGTGCTGATTCTTCTGTTGACTATACTTGTAATCATACTCTTGACCCTTCTGGTAGGATATTATCTATATAGGAGAAACAAGTATGCAGAAGTAAGAGAGGAATGGGAGAAAGAGTATGGTCCACACCGATACTCTTACAAATCCATGTACAAAGCAACAAAAGGGTTCCACAAAGATGGTTTTCTCGGAAAAGGAGGATTTGGAGAAGTCTACAAAGGAACTCTGCCTGGTGATGGAGACATAGCCGTGAAAAGATTCTCCCATGATGGAGAACGAGGGATGAAGCAATTCGTAGCTGAAATCGCAAGCATGGGTTGTTTGGATCACAGGAACTTGGTTCCACTCTTCGGGTATTGCAGGCGAAAAGGCGAGTTTCTTCTAGTATCCAAGTACATGCCTAATGGAAGTCTTGACCAGTTCTTGTTTCATAACAGAGAACCATCTCTTACTTGGTCCAAAAGGCTTACGATTCTACGGGACATAGCTTCAGCACTCCAATACTTGCACACAGAAGCCACACAAGTTGTTCTACACCGAGATATCAAAGCTTCTAACGTAATGTTAGACAGAGATTTCACTGGAAAGCTGGGAGATTTTGGTATGGCTAGGTTTCATGACCATGGAGCTAATCCAATAACAACAGGAGCCGTAGGCACTGTAGGGTACATGGCACCTGAGCTAACATCAATGGGAGCTTCAACTAAAACCGATGTATACGCATTTGGTGCACTGATCCTCGAAGTAATTTGCGGGAGAAGACCTGTAGAACCTAATCTGCCGGTTGAGAAACAATTTCTGGTGAAATGGGTTTGTGATTGCTGGAAAAAGAAAGCTTTGATGACTGCTCGAGATCCCAAATTGAGTGGAGACTCAAGGTCTCAAATCGAGATGGTGTTGAAATTAGGGCTGCTATGCACAAATCTTGTGCCGGAATCGAGACCTGACATGAGAGAAGTGATGCAGTACCTTGACGGACAGGTTTCGTTGCCGGATTTCTCACCAGATTCACCGGGAATCGGGATTCTCACTCCGGTTTTGGTAGGAGGAAGCTCCGCCGTGTTATCTAACAATTATTCTTCTCCGGCGACGGAGTTTATCACTCACTCGATCCAATACGGAGTTGGACGATGAAGACTTAACAATTTCAAGATTGAAGGCCAACGTTATTCACAAAAGTTGATATGGCCGAGTTGGTCTAAGGCGCCAGATTAAGGTTCTGGTCCGAAAGGGCGTGGGTTCAAATCCCACTGTCAACATTTCTCTTTTTTTTTTTTTAAATGTCAGAAAAATATTGAAAAACTCGAAACAGGTATGTAATATTAAAATTATGAATACACCCTTACTAATTTTCTAATTTACAAAACGAAGGTTTCTCAATTTCGGCGAAATGGTTTTGATGTCCATTACATCTATTTTGGTTCATCATCTTGTCTAGCTAGATACAGTACGCTTTCTCTGTCTTTCTTACTGTCGCAGTCTCCTCAGTCCCCTTTTGCTTCTTTTTTCTCGTATCGCTCCAAATTGCTGTACTGTACTCTTCTTCATTCAATGTAAATGTAGAAGCTTCTTCTTCCTCAGAGAGCAATGGCTGTAATTGGCATCAATACCATTTCGCTCTACGAACTCGAATCCGCCGTCTCTGCTCTCCGTACGTCTCCTATCATTTTATGATTTTGGTTCATTTTTCCAGATATTTCTCCGAAAAGTTTTCAATTTTCCAAGTAAAGATTTAGCCTTTTCAATTTTTTGTCTCTATGATTACATGAGTTTTCTCATCGTGGAACTTTTACTTTTACCTTCTTGGCATTTGATGGGTAAACATGATTCCAGGAATTTACTGGTTTTGAGCTATTCTTTGCTACGAAAATAGCTTCGCAACAACCAGGCTTTATGTTTCAGTCAGATACAGGTAAAATGTTTTCATTTAGTCTCGATAATTTCATGTGTTCTTCTAAAGTTAACAATAAGCTGGGTTTATTGATTATCTTGTGTATACTGACGAAACTAAAGCATGAGAGAAGGTTCTTCCTGGTGGTAAAGACTTGTATTCTTAATGATATTGCTTTGGCTTTCAGCTGTGCACACAGGAGCTCACTAAGTTGTTATTGTATCAGGTATTTTGATGTTATGCTAGATGCTGAAGTAAAGAGAAGGTTAAGGAATTTTTTAATGGTTAGGCTTCGCGGCCTCAGTGAGAACTTTAGACCACATCTGTCAAGAGCTTGCAAACATGGTAGCTCGCTGAGCAACCGACATGTATGCCTTTTGCTGCCTTTGTAAAGTGTGATTGAACTCAACTAACCTTTGGGAAGAAACCTGTGTGAATGCCAGTCGGTAGACGGTTTATAAATGCTGGAAAATGGTTTAGATCCGAGTTTCACAGTTGAATTCTCAGTTGAGGAAGTCGAGATGGCTCTGAAACTAGGGTTGCTTTGCAAAAATGGTGTTCCAAAACTAAGAGACTCCATGGAAGAAGTGGTGCGGACTTTTGGAATCTTCTTTGTTCGGCAGTTATCCAGAAAACGTTAAAGCTATACAAGGTGGAGGTACTTGACCATTGATCTTTTAGCTTTTCACTTTACATTAATGGCTTTTCACCAAGATACTATTTCCTGCTGCCACCAAATAGAGCTTCTTATGTAGGTAGCTAGTAATTAAGTTCATAAGTATCGTACCTCTTCGGAATTTAGGTTGTCTAAGAGAACTAGTCAATTCTAATATTGTGCTGTTCTTGGTGTGGTTTACTACTGTGACATAACCAAGCTATAAAAGAAGTTGCTCTATGCAATTCCTGCTGCCATTTGCAGATTTTGATTAGCAGAAGACTTTATTATTGTATAGTGGCTGTTTTTTTCTTGTCTCTAATCTTAGCTTTAGTGATTTGATCTCTTGTATATGTGAGGATGTATTCTCTTGCACCTGTAGAGCTGAATTCGGAAGGTAGGACCTAACTATATTTTCTAAACAAGAGATCAAATCACCTGTAGAGCTGAATTAGGAAGTCCTCAGAGGTCAGGCTAACAAGGTAGGACCTAACTATATTTTCTAAAGAAAATTCGTAGTTGTCATGAATAGGACAGGCTTTCCTAGGCTTCTTCCGTTTGGTCGGGCTCATTATTGTGTCGGTATCATACAAACCTTGGGATTTTTATTCATTTGACGTCTGAAAGGTGAAGGGCATGTTTAAAATATGTCTTTTTCTCATAATATATTTTTTTGTCTGCTTCCTTAGAAGATGGCTTCTAGTAGAATCAGAAGAAAAATCTAATGCAAGTGGGAGCGTGATCTACTCCTAGACACATTTTAAATTCATTTATAAACGTTGGTTACGTATATTATTGTTTCAGGGTTACCCCGAGGAGCAGTTGCGTTGTCTATTTAGATTGAAGTTGAGATCATATAAGTTAAAATATTGTCTGAAGCATATTTTGAAAAGCGTGAAGCTTTCATTGTTAATTTTTATTGTTCAACCTTTTTTAGAAAATATCGTGTTAGTGGAGTACAGTTTGTAAAGCGAGGTGATTCCCTTGATTAAATAAACTAATATTAGAAAGTTTGATAGGCTTGGATCACTAAAACAGAAGCTCACATACTTTGTTTTGTTCATTTTTTTTCTTCAGCTTGCATCGTATTGAGTTGAGAGAATACCTGCACATCAGATCCAGACTCTCTGGTTCATCATCTGGGATGGCTCGTTGGTTGCTTCAGATCCTGATAATCTCTTCTCTTCATCTGATTTCTCTATCAAGTCAACAAGAGACAAGGTTTGTCTATGAAAGCTTTCTCGACCAAGAAAATCTTTATATTGATAAATCGGCTGTAGTACTTCCCAGTGGATTATTGCGGTTGACGAACGCTTCGGAGCATCAGATTGGTCATGCTTTCCACAAGAAACCACTTGAGTTCAGTCCAACCGGGCCACTCTCTTTCTCAACACACTTTGTGTGTGCTCTGGTGCCTAAGCCAGGTGTTGAAGGTGGCCATGGTATTGCCTTTGTATTATCTCCTTCTATGGATTTCACGCACGCAGAGTCAACTAGATACTTGGGGATTTTCAATGCTTCAACAAGTGGATCTTCCTCTTATCACGTGCTTGCTGTTGAGCTTGACACTATTTGGAACCCAGATTTCAAAGATATCGACCACAATCATGTGGGGATTGATGTGAACAGTCCTATATCTGTCGCAATTGCTTCGGCATCTTACTATTCCGACATGAAAGGGAGTAACAAAAGCATAATCCTTAGAAGCGGAAAACCAGTACAGGTCTGGGTGGATTATGAAGGCACTTTGCTCAATGTTACGATTGCTCCGCTTAAATTGCAGAAGCCAAGTCGACCTCTTTTGTCACACCCCATCAACCTTTCAGAAATCTTTCCGAAAAGATCAAGACTGTTTGTTGGGTTCTCTGCATCAACAGGGACAGCGATCAGTGATCAATATATTCTTGGGTGGAGTTTTAGCACAAGCAGAGGATCGCTGCAGCGACTCAATATCTCAAACCTTCCTGGTGTTCCTCATCCACATAAGAAACTACCGAAACTTTATATCATCCTGCCTGTTTGTTTGGCTATTGTGCTGTTGGCTGCGCTTGCAGGACTTTATTTCCGCAGGAGAAAGAAGTATTCAGAAGTATCGGAAACATGGGAAAAGGAGTTTGATGCACATCGGTTCTCTTACAGGTCCTTGTACAAAGCAACAAAGGGGTTCAGCAAAGATGAATTTCTCGGAAAAGGAGGTTTTGGAGAAGTTTATAGAGGAAATCTCCCACAAGGCAGAGATATAGCCGTGAAGAGAGTTTCCCATAATGGTGATGAAGGTGTGAAGCAATTTGTGGCTGAAGTCGTGAGTATGAGATGTCTGAAACACAGGAATCTTGTACCACTTTTTGGGTATTGCAGAAGAAAACGAGAACTTCTTCTTGTCTCAGAGTATATGCCGAACGGTAGTCTTGACGAGCATCTGTTTGATGACCAGAAGCCGGTTCTTTCTTGGTCACAAAGACTCGTGGTTGTTAAGGGTATTGCTTCTGCTCTCTGGTACTTGCATACAGGTGCTGACCAAGTTGTTCTGCACCGAGATGTCAAAGCTTCCAACATTATGTTAGACACGGAGTACAATGGAAGGTTAGGGGATTTTGGCATGGCCAGGTTTCACGAGCATGGAGGCAGTGCAGCTACAACAGCAGCCGTGGGCACTGTAGGGTACATGGCACCAGAGCTAATCACAATGGGAGCTTCCACTGGAACTGATGTTTATGCATTTGGTGTTTTCATGCTTGAAGTAACCTGTGGGAGGAGACCCGTGGAACCGCAGTTGCAAGTTGAGAAACGACATATGATCAAATGGGTTTGTGAGTGCTGGAAAAAGGATTCTTTGCTTGATGCTACCGACCCAAGATTGGGAGGTGAATACATAGCCGAAGAAGTCGAGATGGTTATGAAACTCGGTCTGCTCTGTTCAAATATAGTGCCAGAATCCAGACCTACAATGGAACAAGTGGTTCTGTACCTCAACAAAAACCTACCTTTGCCAGAGTTCTCACCATATACTTTGGGGATTGGCACATTTGCTCCTGTTCTGGTTGATGCATCCTCCCTTGTAGTCTCTTCCGCGTCATGGAGTTGGTCAGCCCCCTCAATGTCTTCTTCCTCAACAAACCACTCACCTTATGCTTGTCAGTCAACCGATCAGCCATGGGGACAGACATTGGACACTACAAACTCTATTCACATAGTTGCAGAACCAGAGAAGCCTAAGACTATCGCACCCGCTGTCAAAACGGTCACATTGTCTGGAGAAAATCTTTAGTCCAATCATTCCAGCATCGGCAGTGAGAGGTAATTCCTGATGTACATATCAACAAGAAGATCTCATTAGCTCTCAATATTGTTTTATCTGTCTCACTTGTCCCAACAAAATCAGTTTGTTCTTTGGAAATACTTATCTGATTAATGAGATTATACATTTTTCATATTATAACTTGTAGACTTGTAGTCCTCTCTCTGTTACCAAATCCTCAGGTATTACTCCTCAATGTGCTCTGATATATGATTTGGTCAGATACTAAAGGGTCTCTGCTAGAAAGTTGTTTGAGTTATAGACTGGAATAAACCAAACTGATTGGTTCCAATACAAGTATACAAGAAGTAAACAAAACTAATTTTTAAAAACCAAAATGTATCTTAACTGTTGAACGTGATTACAATGCTATTCAGTAGTGCTGATTCAAGCACGTAACCCGTCTTTCTCCCTCAATTTCGCGCTCTCTGTTTTGTCCTGAATAAGCTTGAGAAATTTTGTGATGATGAAGGTCTACCAAAAAGTCAGGTCATTCTCCAAAACCATCCTCTAAAAAATGTGTTCCTCTCTGTGCGGTGTACCGCCATACTGAAAATAAATTGGTCATATCACTGACCCCCTTAGAGAATTATTGGCCTGAAGTAACTGGTGAAGGCAACAGGATCAAGGAAACATCGTGACATATTAGATCTTCAACTACACAAGGTGCACTTATTTGAACAATAGTCTTATTATATGATTTTTCATCTTCTCCTAGATGATTTTGATCTATTTCCAAGATGATTGTGTGTTTCACATGAAAATTTATGTCAATTAATTTGGTAAGACTTGAAGCTATAAACCATATTCGTCATCTAGAGACCATTCATAGCTGTCTTAACTTTGCCAAGCTTTATTAGCCTTGTTCCTTTTAGTCTGGCTCATACTTTTGCTGGGGAAAAAAACATGGCTTTTAGTTGAATTGTCTTTTTAGAACAGATCTTAATGGGTTTTTTTGGGTCAAAGCCTAAGATGACTTTAAGTTGAAGAAGTAGGAGTAAAATCTAATGAAAGCTAGTGAGCATCTAGTCCAAGATATAAGCTATAGTGTTTAATTTTTGTTTGACCCGTTATTACCGTTTGTAAGTGTACCACCACATGCAGCATTTCATAGTTTCATTGAGTTGAACTTGGGTCACCTTTTGTTTTTTGCTCAACTTGGTTAAATCATGTTAAAATATTGTTTCAAATGAAGCTTTAGTGTTAATTTATCTAATACTGTAACATTAGTAGAGTCCAGCTTGTAAAGGAAAAAAAACGGCGACTGCATCTGATGCTAATGTTCCCTTGGATAAACAAACATTACTTTAAACTTTTAGATTACTAATACATAAACATCTTTCATTTGTTCCTTTTTTTTTGTTCAGCTTGTGAGGTTATGATGAATATGCACCGTTTTGAGTTGAGAGAAAATCTGCAAATCAGATCCAGACTCTCTTATTCATCATCAGAAATGACTCGTGGATTGTTTCAGATCGTGATGATGATCTCTTCTTTTTGTCTAATTAAACTATCAAGTCAGCAAGAGACAAGGTTTGTCTATGAAACTTTTCGTGGCCAAGACAATCTTTATCTTGATGGATCTGCGACACTACTTCCCAATGGAATATTGCAGCTTACAAATGCTTTACATCATCAAATTGGTCATGTTTTCTACAAGGATTCAATTGGTCTCAGTTCCTCTAAACCACTCTCCTTCTCAACACACTTCGTTTGCGCTCTGGTGCCTCAGCCAGGAGTTGAAGGTGGTCATGGCATGGCCTTTGTAGTATCTCCTTCTATGGATTTCTCGCATGGAGAACCAGCTAGATACTTGGGGATTTTCAACGTATCAAAAAATGGATCTCCTTCTTCTCATGTGCTTGCTGTTGAGCTTGACACTATTTGGAATCCAGATTTTGAAGATATTGACCACAATCATGTGGGGATTGATGTGAACATTCCTCTGTCGGTTGGAACAGCTTCAGCATCTTACTATTCCGACATAAAGCGGCGGAACGAAAGCATAAACCTTTTGAGTGGAAAACCAATACAGGTTTGGGTTGATTATGATGGCACTATGCTCAATGTTTCGATGGCTCCTTGTGAAGCCCTGAAGCCAAGTCGGCCTCTTTTGTCTCAACACATCAATCTTTCAGATATTTTCCCCAACAGAAGACTTTTTGTTGGGTTCTCTGCAGCAACAGGGACAGCTATCAGTTATCAGTATATTCTTTCTTGGAGTTTTAGCACAAGCAGAGGATCACTGCAGCGACTTGACATCTCAAGACTCCCTGAAGTTCCTCATCCTAGAGCTGAACATAAGAACTTAACTCCACTGTTTATTGTCCTGCTTTGTTTTCTTGCTATCATTGGCTTGTCTACCCTTTTTGGAATCTATTGTTTTAAGAAGTGCAAGTATGCAGAAGTAACCGAGGCATGGGAAAAGGAATTTGGTGCACATCGATTCTCTTACAAATACTTGTACAAAGCAACAAAAGGGTTTAACAAGGATGGATTTCTTGGTAAAGGAGGTTTTGGAGAAGTCTACAGAGGAAATCTCTTTTTAAGCAGAGAAATAGCTGTGAAGAGAATGACACATAACGGTGATCAAGGTGTGAAGCAATTTGTGGCAGAAGTGGTGAGCATGAGATGTCTGAAACACAGGAATCTTGTTCCACTTCTTGGATATTGCAGGAGAAAGCATGAGTTTCTTCTTGTCTCCGATTACATGACCAATGGTAGTCTGGACGAGCATTTGTTTGATGACCAGAAACCGGTACTTTCTTGGCCACAAAGACTGGTGATTATTAAGGGTATTGCATCTGCTCTCTGTTACCTTCATACAGGTGCTGACCAAGTTGTTCTGCACCGAGATATCAAAGCTTCAAACATTATGTTGGATGCTGATTTCAACGGAAGGTTAGGGGATTTTGGCATGGCCAGCTTTCATGACCATGGAGGCATCTCAGACTCAACATGCGCCGTTGGGACTATCGGGTACATGGCTCCAGAGGTACTTTATATGGGAGCTTCAACTAGAACGGATGTGTATGCCTTTGGTGTATTCATGGTTGAAGTAACATGTGGGAGGAGACCTGTGGAACCACAGCTGCAACTTGAGAAACGAATTCTGATCGAATGGGTTTGTGAGTGCTGGAAAAGGGATTCTTTGCTTGATGCTATCGACCCCCGGTTATCGCGTGGAACATTCGTATCCGAGGAAGTCGAGATGGTTATGAAACTCGGTTTGCTCTGCTCAAATACTGTGCCAGAATCCAGACCTACAATGGAACAAGTTGTCCTATACTTAAACAAGAACCTACCTTTGCCAGATTTCTCACCATATACTGTGGGGATTAGCAATCATTCTTCGGTTCTGATTGATGTAGCCTCCCTTGTAGCTTCAAGGAACTGGTCACCTGCTTCCTCAGCCAATAACTCACCTTAATACAGATCAGCCATGGGGAAACACACTGGATACTAAGAACTCTGATCACCCCAATGTACACAGTAGAAAAAGCAGTTATATTATTAGCTCTCAAGATTGTTTTATCTGTCTCACTTATCCCAATCAATGAATTTTTCTGTTGAAAATGTTGTAAATGAATTCTCCCAACCAATAAAAGAAACTAACTCTTATCAATTTCTCAGAAAATTAGTACTGTAATCATCCATAACTGTATCTTCTTGTTTTGCTGAAGATTTTTGAACGTATGTTTAATGGTCCAACCTCTTAGTTATGGTTTGTTCTGATGAAACCATCTTCATTTCATGAGTCATCTCTTCCTTTCGTCCTTCGTTGACTTCAAAATGCTTTGATGATGAAACTTATTTAAACATGTGGATAATTGTATATAATATTCTTCCTACCAAAAAAAAATAAAAATTCAACTGTTTTCGTCAATGTGAATGATGTACACTATTATCATATAAAGCAACTTAAATGTGACTAATACACATGGTTATAAAATACAAAGAAGATAATATAGTTTTCTTACTCTGTCAACATCCAAAACAATAGTATTTTGAGGCGCTATTATGACAACTACGTTGGGTTGTATTTTAAAATTAGACATGCACTTTAACATGGAGATAAATTTGGCTTCATTCTCCAAGCCATGTGTGTATTATGCCATCTGAGTTAGACATTTTTAGAACCAGACAAGAGACCATATTATTATTGTATGAACAACAGCACAGAAATACAGGTTTGGGGTTACTGTCACGGATACATTTAAAAGTACTGTATTTTCATTTTTGTGTATTCAACTCAGGAGATGCCTATAGGAAATATACTTTCTGAAGAGAATTGACTTTGTAATATAGAAACTTTGGTTTGAAAAGTTTCACCTATATTTGTATATTGAAACCCATAAACGAAACCAGACCTCTCTGTTTCATAAGCAATGGCTACTGAAAAATTACATCTGATCTTACTGATCTTCTTTAATCATCTGATTTGCTTATATAGTCAACAAGGAGAAGCTGGGTTCTTCTACAATGGTTTTGGCCAAGCTCAAGCTGATCTTCATCTAGATGGAGCTGCGAGAATCCTCTCCCCAGATGGATTGTTGCAGCTGACAAATGCCTCTACACAGCAAATGGGCCATGCTTTCTTCAAGAAACCATTCAAGTTTGATTCATCTGAGAATAAACTCTCTTTCTCGACTCATTTTGTGTGCGCGCTTGTGCCTAAACCAGGAGCTGATGGTGGCCATGGAATTGCATTTGTTGTATCTTCTACCATAGATTTCACACAAGCAGATCCAACTCAGTACTTGGGACTTTTCAACATCTCAACAAACGGATCTCCTTCTTCTCAGCTTCTAGCTATTGAGCTTGATACAGTTGAGAGCGCAGAGTTTGATGATATCGACAAGAATCATGTCGGTATAGACATCAACAGCATGAATTCTGTAGAGTCTGCTTCAGCTTCTTACTTTTCAAACGCCGAAGGGAAGAATCATAGCATCAAGCTCTTAAGTGGATACCCTTTACAAGTCTGGGTTGATTATGAGGGATCTTTACTCAATGTCACAGTGGCTCCTCTAAGAATCCAGAAACCAAACCATCCTCTTTTGTCAAGATCCATCAACCTTACTGAAATCTTCCCGGGCCAAAGACTGTTTTTCGGATTTTCTGCCGCAACAGGGTCATTAGTCAGTTACCAATATATATTAGGATGGAGTTTCAGCAGAAGCAGAATGTTGTTGCAGGGACTGGACTTCTCAAAAATTCCTCAGATTCCTCATCCAAGAGCTAGGAAGGAGGAAGCATCTCCGCTGCTTATCACTCTACTCTTGTTACTAGTACTCATAATGTTGGCTGTTCTTGGAGGAATTTACTTATACAGGAAAAAGAAGTATGCAGAAATCAGAGAAGCATGGGAAAAAGAATACGGTCCACACCGGTTTTCTTATAAATCTCTATACAAAGCAACAAAAGGGTTTGACAATGACGGTCGTTTAGGTAAAGGCGGTTTTGGAGAAGTCAACAGAGGAACTCTGCCTCACGTTGGAGATATAGCGGTAAAAAGAGTGTGCCACGATGCGAAGCAAGGCATGAAACAGTTTGTTGCTGAAGTAGTGACTATGGGAAGTTTAAAGCACCGGAACTTGGTTCCTCTTCTCGGGTATTGCAGGAGGAAGGGAGAGCTTCTACTAGTCTCTGAGTATATGTCTAATGGCAGTCTTGATCAATACTTGTTTCAAAGAAAAACTCCGGCTCTTTCATGGCCGCAAAGGCTAGTCATTTTGAAAGATATAGCCTCTGCTCTAAATTACCTACATACAGGAGCTAATCAAGTCGTGTTACACCGAGATATAAAAGCTTCTAATATCATGTTAGATTCTGATTTCAACGGAAGGTTGGGAGACTTTGGAATGGCGAGGTTTGAAGATTATGGAGATAGCTTACCGGCAACAGCAGCAGTAGGAACAATGGGTTACATGGCACCTGAGCTAACAACAATGGGAACTTCTACAAGAACCGATGTTTATGCATTTGGCGCTTTCATGCTTGAAGTAACTTGTGGAAGGAGACCATTAGATCCCAAGATTCCAGCTGAGACACGGCATTTGATCAAATGGGTTTGTGACTGCTGGAGGAGGGATTCTATAGTTGATGCTATCGACACAGGATTGGGAGGTGATTACTCAGAAGAAGAAACCGAAATGGTTCTGAAACTTGGATTGCTCTGCACAAACGTTGTTGCAGAATCCAGACCAACCATGGAACAAGTGATACAATACATAAACCAGAATCTCCCATTGCCAAGTTTCTCCCCAGATTCTCCAGGAATTGGAGTTCCTACTCCAGTTTTGCTGGAATCACTCTTCAATTCAAGGAGCTCATTAGCACCCTCGACCTCTCCTCCATCCCCCCATAACTCTATGTTTGTTACTCATACAATCACATACGGAGATGGAAGGTGAGAACCTAAGAACTATTTTGGTTCTTCAATATACTATGGTTTTAGACAAATGGGTCTTTGTATATTGGTTTAGTTACGTTCGCAATGTGTTTTAGAGGTTTGGATGTGAATCTGTAATTAAAAAAAACATAAGGTTTGTAGCAATCAAATTCATTAAACTACTGAAACGTACAATGAAAAACTCATAAAAACTTGTAAGCACTACAAGTATCAGACCAGCTGAAGTTTGGGAAAAAAACAAACAAACAAATAAAAAACAGAACATAGAACAGAGTCATAGTTTAAGAAGCAACAGGTGATCCATTAGTGAGAAGTTTGGTGTTATTTCTTCCTTGTTCAATCTCCTTGAGAAGTTCCAAAGGCGTTGCAGAAGATCCATCCTTTGGACTTCTAGGACCATCAGCACCAATCACAATCCTAATCTCGTACTCATCCACATCACCTTTCTTCAGAACCTGGAGAGACGAAAGAGGAGATGAACAAGTAGAAGTAGTTGTGGTGGTGGCGACATTCGTGTGATGAAGCTTTTTAGATTTTGGTAACTGAACAATCCACATGAGATTGTAACCTTCGGTCTTATGCAGCAATATTACAACACAAGTGACCAGAAGCTGGATAATCCAAGGCAAGGTTATGAGTAATGTTCCGGTAATGGAAAAGAATTTGATGTAACCAAATTTTTGTTTTTTGGTGTTGGAGAGACTGAACAAGAGGATTCCAGTGAGAGTGATCCAGAGTGAGTGAATGAGGATTGATGTAAGGGTGAAACCTGTTTTTTCCATTTTTTCTCTTTCGTTTTTGTTTCCTCAGAGAAAAATTCTAAACTTCGAAGTTAAAAGTTAAAACATTACGAAAATCAGAAAAGGCTGTTAGAGGATTTACAGTAGGTTGTTAGATATTCTGGTTGGGGTTTTAAATCAAATATTTTGGAAACAAAAATAAAATAAGTGTTAAATTGATAACACAAATAAAGAAAACTTACAATTTGCTGCTACTCCGAAGAACTTGGCTGCAACATTTCAAGAGTTGGTAATATTGCAGTAGCTTCACCGTCGAGAACAACAAGTTCTTTGTGGTTCTTGAAGCATTTAGTTGAGAATTTGACACTAACATGACGAAATGAGGATCAAGTTATGACAGCGGAACAGATCAACAGATGTTCTTTTTTTTTTTTTTTTATTCCAATGGGTTTAGATTAGCTTACATGTACTTATTTTTGGTTTCTCTTAAAGCTGTGGCTTGAACCAGTCCGAGAATTTCATCCCCTACGTAAACCGGTGACCGAAAATGCAGACTTTGAGATACATATACTGCTCCAGGCTGCAAAAAGGCCAAATTAGAGTTAGTCATGTTTCTGTAAAGTCAGGTATAAGGACAGGTCAAAGGTAAATATGACTGCAAATTAAAACTAGAGAACTTACGAAATGGGCAGAGATGATACGAGGAAACATGGAAGAAACAAGCATCCCGTGGACAAGGCGATTCTCGAATCCGGCTTTACGGGCAGATTCTGGATCGAAATGGAGAGGGTTGCAGTCATGGCTCACCTCAGCATAGGCCTTAACATCTTCACTTGAGAATACTCTTGTTTCTCTAAACACATCTCCCACTTTAACTAGTGTCTTTGAAGTAACTGACGAGAAACACCTTGAAACAAGAAGATGTGTAGGGAGAAACGTTCTCGTCAGCATTTGTTTCACCTGAAGAAGGGGGACTAATCAAACTGAAGATCTGCCAAAACAAACAAAAAAACCTTGAGTTATATTAATTTGCCTTTTTTATTATTCTCATTGAGTCATTTTGTCGAACAGCTTATAGACACACCGTTGAAAGTCAAAAGATTCAAACTTTGCCAATTTAATTGCCCAGTTGCTCACAGCGTATGATCAGATGGTTATCTTATCAAACACGCTCAAATATTTCAAGGTGAAGACGTTTGATCTGAGGGGAGCAGAGACAAGCGAGATGGGAAGAAAAGGCATATTTGCTAATGAATCAAAATTCATCTTGTAGGCTAATCAGTTGGGTCATAAATTAACACATAAGCAAGTTGCTTGATTTCTACGGAAGTATGACATAATTTCATGGGCTATTTTGCAATTTACCCTATAAAAGTTCATGAAAGTATGACATCACAGTACAGGTCAACATTCCAAGCATACAAGACAAATACAATCCACTCAAAATACACCACGTGGACCGATAACGTTTCCGTCTGTATCTCTCTCGCTTCCGTCTTCTACTCTTCTTCTTCTACTTCTCACTCACCATCTCTGAAGCTAAACTCACTGAAGCAGACACTAGCGTTGAGAAAAAGAACCAAACAAAAAAGTAAACAACGAGAGAGAGAGAAAAAAAGCTATGTCTGTGAGAACAATCCTATCATCATTAGTTCTTGTGATTCTCATCGCCGCATCGACGGCGGCGGAAATCGGATTCGATGAGTTAAACCCGATCCGGATGGTCTCCGACGGTCTTCGGGAGGTAGAAGAATCTGTTTCCCAGATTTTAGGCCAATCTCGTCACGTTCTCTCTTTTGCTCGCTTCACCCACCGGTAAGTCCTTATCCCTTTACACCACTTAGCCACTGAGGCCTTGGCCATTGACTTTGAGTCCATTGGTTTTGATAATCGTGTTTTTTTGGTGATGGATGAAGGTATGGGAAAAGGTATCAGAACGTCGAGGAGATGAAGCTTCGATTCTCTATTTTTAAGGAGAATCTTGATTTGATCAGATCCACTAACAACAAAGGCTTATCTTACAAACTCGCTGTTAATCGTAACTCTCTTTTTTTAATCTTTCTTCTCTTTAATTTGCTGTTTTATTCTTCTCGTATGAGCCTTTTTTATTACTAGAACAAAGTCAACAAGTTCTGGACTCTTTAACGAACTGACATATGTTTAAGAGCTTTGTAAAAGGAAACGTGGAAACTAACTTGTTCTGTCTTGGAATCTTCCAATTTAATATTTTAGCTTCTTTTTTTTTTCTTTTTCTTTTAGTTCACGTGATTCAAGATTGTTATTGGTCTTAGATATTTGCAGACTTTATGGGTATTTGAACTCTGTATGAGAGACTAGTTTGCGTGAATATTTAGCATCCTAGGTATTGTTCTGTTTTCTTATGATTTAGCTGTCCTGATTCAAGATTGTTCGTGTTTAGATAGACATTGCTAGTGGTTTGAGACTAAATATTCTGTGTCTCTTGAATCTACGCAGAATTTGCTGATTTGACCTGGCAAGAGTTTGAAAGGAACAAGCTTGGTGCTGCTCAGAACTGCTCTGCCACTTTAAAGGGCAGCCACAAACTCACAGAAGCAGCTCTTCCGGAAACGGTGAGTGCATGACACAATCTTTCTACACTAAACCATCTATTTCCTGTTTTTAGCTTTAAAGATATGTGTTTAGCTGCTGCAGAACCTCTTTTTTGGTTCTGATTCCTCAAGTTGTGTAAGTGCAGAAAGACTGGAGAGAAGATGGTATTGTTAGCCCGGTCAAAGACCAAGGAGGTTGTGGATCTTGCTGGACATTCAGGTAAAACCAATGATTAGGATACTAATATCTCCTGAGTTTTTGGTGGGATCCCGTGATGTATAATTAAAAGGTCAAGATTGAATGTCATATAATCGATATTTGTACTGCAGCACAACTGGAGCTCTTGAGGCAGCTTATCATCAGGCATTTGGGAAAGGAATATCTCTCTCTGAGCAACAGCTTGTAGATTGTGCTGGAGCTTTCAATAATTATGGCTGCAATGGTGGTCTTCCTTCTCAAGCCTTTGAATACATTAAATCCAACGGTGGCCTCGACACAGAGGAAGCTTATCCTTACACCGGGAAAGATGGAACCTGCAAATTTTCAGCAGAAAACATCGGTGTACAAGTCCTCAATTCAGTCAACATTACTCTGGTAAGCATCTTTTATGGATTTTGTATTTCACTTGCTTGAAAATATATATTCTATAATCTGTAATGATGATTAAAACAACAACAACAGGGGGCTGAAGAGGAACTGAAGCATGCGGTTGGATTGATACGGCCAGTAAGCATAGCATTCGAGGTTGTGAACTCCTTCCGACTGTACAAGAGTGGAGTTTACACTAGTAGTGACTGTGGAAGTACTCCAATGGTAAGACTTTCTTCTTTAAACTGCTACAAAGACTTTCATGTGTTTCATATAAAATCATCTTAGGCACTTAGCTTAGTGTTCAATTCGGTTTTTCATAATGTGGCAATAGGATGTGAACCACGCGGTTTTGGCCGTTGGTTATGGAGTTGAAGACGGTGTACCATATTGGCTTATAAAGAACTCGTGGGGAGCGGATTGGGGTGACAAAGGGTACTTCAAGATGGAGATGGGGAAGAACATGTGCGGTAAGTTCTTCAACCATCATGAAACCATAACATCATTATCATATGCGATACTCAGATCTTTACATTTGCTCTCTCTCAGTCCGTTGTTAATTCGTTATTGAACTGCAGGTATTGCTACATGTGCATCGTACCCCGTTGTGGCTTGAGATTGATCAGCGAATGTGGTTTGGTCGATTATTAAACTACGAAATGGTGGCATATTTATTGGCTTAATAGGTTACTCTAAAGTTGGGACTTGGGAGTGCATATTGTTTATGCTTGTAACATAAGGGTCTGTTCATATGTACAAAACAATGCAAAAACCATAGACGATAAATTTTATAATACATGCATGTTGAATTCAGAACATATATTGATTAAGACCAAAGTCGCTTTGTTCTTGTTCCTAACGATAATTTTGAATATATACCTACAGCTTGCAAGTTATGGTCTTTGAGAAACACCAATACGTACTTAATTGCTTTTGGTGATCAGTAGTGGTCACATGGATAATGGATCTTCTCATCATAGAATGCTTAGTTAGTTTTGAAGAAATCTCTAGACCAGTTGAACTAACAACACGCCAAACTGCTAATAAAGTTACAAAGTTAAGCAAATCTTCCACACAAACTTTGTCTAGTATATGGACATCAATTCACAAAAAGCATAATAGCACTAAGATAATTGATATGGTTCTCTCATTCTCTGGTTCACCATTCCCAAACCCAATGGTTGGTTTTTTTTTACTTACAATTAATCTTTCTAGTTTCGACCAATTGGTTTTGAAACTTTGAATATTTTTTACATGGCCACGAAAGAAGAGAAGACCACACGTTGCTTCCGCTTAAAAACATGGCCGAGTCACCCTCCGAGTCAACCTCCGCGAGTGCTACTATTTCAAGCCCTCAAACTCAGCATGACTTCCCCGAGATCCCAATCGAGATCGTTAGTGAAGAAGAAATGGCTATCCTCGATGCAGCTCTTGCAGCCACCCGCTCCATCCTCCCTTCTGCGCTCCGTTCGGCTTCCCCGTCGCGGGTGATCGCCGGCGGAAGCCCAAAGAACATCCGTTCGATTACTCTCTTCTCCAAGAGGAAATTCTCGGCGGCTTGTTCGGATATCGAAGAGTCTTATTTGCATCGATTTAGGAGAAATCAAGCTTTAGGTGTCACGGATCTCACCAGCACTGTACGTTTATCTTACGATTAAATGGAGATATAATTCATTGGAAGAAGATCTTTGAAAACGGTATTGAACTCTTATTTGTTTTAGGAATGGTGTGAGAAACAAATGGAGAATGTTCTCTGTTTTGGCAGGAGAAAGGTTAATAAAGCCATGAAAGCTGGTCAGGCTCGTCATTTGCAGCTTGAAGAAGAGGTACACTATTCTATATGATAGATCTTTAGGCTTATTCATGTCTGGCTCATTGCTTCTAACTCATCTACTACTTACAATGAATACTAACTTACACATCTCTTGATTTGGTATTCTTGTTTATCCAAGTGAAAGTGATTAACTTTACTGTTAAGAGCTCTACATCTTTTCTTATGAAGAATTTGATGAAAGATCTAGCTTTTGTTCTGTTTATAAATGGCTAGGTAGTTAAAAAGGTGAGAGTAAGAGTTGAATCAAATGAAGATAAGTGGGCATTGAAGCTGTTGAATTCCATCGCGGGTGTTAATCAGTTCTTGTTTGAAGGACGAACTCGTGAATTGCTACTGTGAGTTCCTACTACACCTCTATTTTTCCATTCTAGTTTATGTCCTTCCATAATATTTTCATAGCTTTTACCTTTTGCTAACAAGATAATCTTGTTAGTTGTATAAATCAAATGAAACTTTTAATTGTTTGCGTTTTGCTTATTATGGAGTTGGGTGTCATTGATTTTCATCTTCTTTTGATCCAAGTTTGTAACTTTGCGTATATCTAATTTGCTCACTGGATTTGTTTCAGTCTCATGATCGTTCTATTGTTACTTACACCTACTTTCTTGTGTACCCAGTTCTTGGTAATGTATTTATGACAATTGATTCAATCATGCTCTATATCATCAGCTTAGGTTTTGTTGGAGGTCAATGGATTGTGGGAATTATTGACGAGCTTAGAAAGGCGTATGCAGAAGAGTCTTCTGATAGCGGACCAATATTGATAGATACAAAGACTCGACTCCGTGATACACTCCCAGCTGAGCCACAAAGGAGGAATGGAAGGTAAGTGCTTGTAAGTGTTGAAGAAAACGTTCTCAACTTCAGTTTTCATAGGGAGTTTTATGCTAATTGTACTTAAATTAATAATATTTGATAGGCTTCAGCTAATGCTTTATAAGCTTCTATGGGACACGATTGTGAAAGAGGGGTTCCCGAAAGAATCCTTTTTCGACTACTTCTCTTTGAATCGCCATTGTGTCTTATCCCAGGATGTGCGAGATAACATTGCTAATGCAGGTATCAAAGCTCAGGTATGCTAATCTTTGACTCTACACAATACATCTTTCCCCAAGCCAAAGTTAACTGTGTTTATGAAGAGAGAATTACTCACTTCCAAATAAGTTTATTAATGTTTTTTGCTCGGTGCAGACACTTGAAGAGATAGTTATGTACTATGAAAATACTTTTAAGATGCTTCCGACAGCAAACGATCAATTACTACTAAAGTAAGTAGAATATGACTTGCTATTAATCTTACCAAACACATTGATATATCTCTGATGATCTGACTGTAGCTAAAATGGGAAACTTGACCCCAGGTACGAGTTTCAGAAGGACCAATCTATAATAGCTGAGATTAGATTCCACCATGATCATGAGTGGGTGATGAGCAAATATAGAGAAATCATTGAGTTCTGGAGAAATGAACGAGAATCTGAGTACACTCCTGAAGAAGAGCGCTGGAAATGTCGATATTGCCAATTCGCCAAGTCTTGCCCTGGAAACCCGAGCTTCGAATATTCTCCTCCGAGCTCGCCACCAAGAGAGGCTTCTCCTCCTTTAGCAAGCTAAAGAAAAGATGAAAGGTTGATTCTTTCAACCGAAAGCTACAAACGAATGTTTGTTTTGTCATTTGCATATTTTGCTTTCCTCTTTCTTTTTAGTCCTTGCATAGTGATTAATTGATTAAACCGTGATTCGGTTAGGCGTGCCAAAATTGATTTGTACTGGGATGCCGCAATTTGATTATGCCGTATTGTGTATACGTTCTGTATATATTAATTTAATTCGTCAAATAGAAAAATGTTTGTTGTATTATCACAGTTTTTGAAAATTGAAAGATGTAACATGTACAAAACACGTCTCTTTTGCAAACTTATCTGAATGAGAGGATTAGTGGTCAATGCACTATTATAGTCGGATTGTTTACTATTAAATATCCAGCCTAGCTCTATTATAGTGGTCAATGCACTATTATAGTCGGATGTTCTCTATTAAATGTAACATAAGTTTCAAGAAATACGATTTTGCATCTTACTGGTTTCTCCGTTATTTTTTTCAAATTTTATCATTTATAGTATGAGCGAGCTATTAATTTTAGTATTAACCTTATACAGTAACAAAATCCAGTCAAATATTTTATATTTAATTCCTTAATCAGAATAGATTTGTTTCCGTAAACGAATATTATCAAATGCAGTGTTAATTTCTATTGAGATATGGTACTGCATGTTGTGTATAAAACTACAGAGGGTCGTTATATTATTCCAAGGGAAACAAAACTAGAGTTAAAAATGTCTCCTACCAGTATTAGAATGGCTCTTGTGGTGGTGAATCTTTTACATCTTCTTCTGTTCTCAGTAGCTCTTGTTCGTTCGGATCGAAGTACAATGCCTCTCAGATCTTTCAAGGTCAGTTTCCCCAACAAAAACTTGAGTCCCACGCTCCCTCCTATTGTTGTGATCTATTTAATTGATTCCACATCATCTTTTACTATCTTAGACCAAGTTCAACATATTTTCGCTTATTTTTGTTTATAAAATAAAACTAATCTCATGTCTTCTTTTTTTTTTTAACCGTAGATAAGTGGAAATGTAACATACGATTGCATAGATATTGATAAGCAACCAGGACTTGATCATCCCTTGCTAAAAAATCACAAAATCCAGGTGCATAGTTTCAGAAATTAGCCTCCTAATACATACATATATGTTTTTTTATATATAAATAAAACGTGATTATGAATTTAACTATACATTTTTTCTTTCGAGAAGATGAAACCATCAGTTTCAATACATGAAATAAAGAATCAAACTCAGATCAACAAAACATATAAGGAGAAAATCAAATGTCCATATGGAACTGTTCCTATAGTGAGACGTACAAACGAATTCATCACCAACGCTCAACTCTTAGCCGATAAGTATTTCCATCCGCTATCACCGGATAGCTCTGGAACACATGTAAACCATTCTTTTTTGTTCTCATAATATATCAATGCCTTTGATCTAATAAATATCTCTATGTATATTACAAGTATCAATGTATAATGGCAGATTGCTGGAATAAAGCAACACGGTGGTCCATATCATGGTATATCAGCTAGGTTTAATGCATATAAACTAGACATAGGAGAAGACCAAGCCTCGTATAGTCAAATGTATATAGGCAATGGATATTATGGTGAATTTAATTTCATCTCAGCTGGGTTGATGGTAGGTTTTACATTATTTTTTTCTTAATTTGTTTCATTCTCTGAGTAGTCTTACAGTTTTGCAAATCATTTCTTACAGACAAATCCAAGCATTTTTGGTGATAGTCGTCTTTGGTCATATGGATACTGGAAGGTGTGCTTGTGTACAATATATATTTGACAAAATTCTTAAACCAAAGAACATGTAACTTATGGAATATGATTTTGATAGGGTAAATATGCAAAAGGATGTTACAATACGGTATGTCCAGGATTTGTTCAAGTATCTAATGTGGTTCCCATAGTCAAACCCTTTGACCTTAAACCAGGGGAACAAGCAGCATTGGAGTGGTCCATCGCAAGGGTATTTCCTAATTTCTTTCACAATTTTTTCGTTTTTTTTTTCATAATATGGTTTTACAAACTATTCGTTTGTTTCATTTTCTTTAAAAATAACTTAATAAACAATTTTTATATTGAAAATTTATTTTAACAAATTTTTATACTGCACATTTATTTTAACAAATTATTTTTTTGTTCTTTTAATGTACACCAAAAGGATAAACAAACAGGAAATTGGTGGATTATTCAGACTGGAAAACCTAATGCATATATTGGTTATTGGCCAAAAGAGCTATTTCACCTTATGTATGATGGTGCAAGTATGGTTGGAGTTGGAGGTGTATCTCAGGCTTTAAAATCTGGTTTCAGCCCTCCAATGGGTAACGGCAAGTTCCCGAAAAGAGGTATTCTGACATCAGCATTGTTTTCAAATGTTGATGTCTTGAATTCTATGTATGAGAAGCGTAGAATCAATGTTGATGTACCTGTAGAAAAGTTGCTAGATAGTGTCAATTGTTATGGGATAAGAATTGGTAACAGAGTTAAATTTTGGACTACTCCACTCGGATACTTTTTCAATTATGGAGGTCCGGGAGGAACCTCTTGTGGAGTTTGATATATGCCAGTGTAATCTTTAAGCTTAATAAATCTTATCTTAATTAATAATATATGCTAATGTACTAATTAGCAATTAAAAAAAAGATATATATTTGCATTTTCCAGCATATGAAGCATAATTGAGAAACACACCTTGAACTAGTTTTTAGAGATCATATAATGCCAGTGGATAGATGAAAACCCAAACCAGAAATACAACAATCAAGAAAAATTGAGGAGCGTTATTAGCAAACACGCGTGAGATGAATAACCTAAAGACCTATATTGTCCAATCAATGTGGATATTATAGATATATTGTATTCAAGTCCTATCAACTACAGAGTTGGCATCTCAAAACCCAGTTAGGAGATGCATGCGCTCGTGGGTGCTTCCAAGATTTTACTATCGACAGCGCATTACACAAGATGATGTTGTAAAAACCATATGCCAAAGTTTATTACATTGTGGAATAGAATCAAGAACCAATTTCCTAAACTTGTTTAGGTCTTAAAAAACACAGCTAAATAAAGATTTATAAGATAAAGAAAAAAAAAAACGGATGATCCAGGTCATTCAAAAGCCCATGAATTCTCCCTACGAATTTGTTCTTTCTCCTCTGGTGTCAAATCATCATTGACCTTGAAGAATGAACGTAACTCATCTTCAGATTTATATGGGATCATGTCAGCGACTGTTTTGCAAGTGAGCTGACACAGGCTTTTGATGTTTAGGTCATACGCAGCCATGAGAAGATCGTAGAGTTTGGTCTGATCATTGAACTTCATGAACTCAGTGTCCCACTCCTTGAGTTCTTCTTCGTCGGAAGCACCATCGACATGTTTTGAGCAATACTCTATCACCAAGGCGAGGGTCATGCTCTTCACGTTTGGAAGCGGGACGACTACGTTGTCGGAGCGATCGTCTTTAACAAGATCTGCTATCTTCTGTGACTGAAGTGCGACCGCTTCTCTGACCTCAAAAGTTACGCCTTCGGTGCTCGTCAACGTAATCCTCTTTTGCGACATTGTGCAACAGATTAGGGATGGAGAGAATTAACGAGAGCGATTGAATAATAGTAATTTAGGTAAAGAAGTGATGATGATCAATTTAATTATATTTATAAGTCCTAATTTTGAGAGTCGGTTGATTGTTATTTTCCCTTTCAGAAAAGAACAAAAAGTTAATTACTTAATTCCAATAGAGTAAACCAAGCTAAACCGATTCTCAAATGGTTTAGAATTTTTAAAAATAATTTGTCATCTCAATTGTGGTTTGACTAAAACTTATTCTCGACATGTAAAAGTTGTATGCATGTACTAGAGAAGATTTGATTAAGCAAACTAAATATTTGTAGTGCAAAATTTGAAACCTAATTAGTAGTGTGGTAGGTTGTTTTTATATGTCAACACATGGCCACATAATGATGACATGCACGTACCTTTGATTCAACGTTTTGGAGCAAATTTATCTATAGTCATCTCTCATTAATCCTCCGTTAATAGTTCAAATATAATTAAATTTATTTTTAATAATAGCAAAAACCAACTTATTATAGATTTGTTTGAATTAAAAATGGTTACTGTATTATGATTCTACAAATTTTATTTTGTAATCCATATTTGTTTATGAAAAATCTAAGTACCAAAGTTGACAAAAAAAAAAAAATCTAACTACCAAATTTAACAATAGCTCCATTATGTAAATATGCATTTAAATAAATGTTTTTTCCAATGATTTAGCTGTGATTTCTATGATATAATGATCAAATCTATAATTTTATCGAAGCCAACTTATGACGGCTAGGGTTTTTTATTCTCTTATAATGGTCACAAAAATAAAATCACCAATTTTAGATTTTTTTCAAACTAATCATCACACGAAAATAAGATTTATACAATTTCACATTGGAAAAATCGAAAGTAAAAAAAACATATACAATTTATAACTTGAAAGAGAATTACACATTTTTACTTTGTTTATCACAAAAGAAAAAGAAAGAAAAAACAAATTAGAAAAGGCCCAAAACGCATAAGGGCATATTGGTAAAAGTAGAACCACAAGGGGATGGGAAAACCCTAGACCTCGTAGCTATAAGTACCCCTGAGTCGTCCAGTTTTAGGGTGCGCTCTCACATTTCTCACTTACGTAGCCGCAAGACTCCTCTTCCAGATACTTACTTGCAGGTGAGACTCCTCTCTTTAGGTTTTCGATCTTCGTCTTCTTTATGCTGTTTAGGCTTTAGATCTTCATCTTCTCTATGCTGTTTAGCTTTAGATTCTTCTCATAAGCTCTGTTTTTAGATTCATGTCTTTTAGCTGTATGTTCACTGTGATAATCGCTGCCTTTTGATATTCGAGTTTAGGATCGGTTTTATTCGTAGATCTGTCTTACCTCCTTTTAGTCTGTTGGAGAATCTTCTGGTTTGCTGATAACTTCAACTTTTTTATATAATCTAGGCGATCTGCCATATCACTGTTCGTTTCGTTACTTGAATCGATTTTAGATGTTCTAGTTTATTCTGATGCCTTTGGTTGATGATGTATACTTAGATGATGATATTGATTCTCGTTTCAATAGATCTGTTTGTTTTTGATTTATACAGATGAGGTGTGGTGGCTTGTTAGATGAATATGTTGTGAATTTTTAGATGTTGACTTGTATTTTTTGGTTCTGACCTTCTGTTCTTTCTTGGTTTTGCTTTACAGCTATGGGTAAAGAAAAGTTTCACATCAACATTGTGGTCATTGGCCATGTCGACTCTGGCAAATCGACCACAACTGGTCACTTGATCTACAAGCTTGGTGGTATTGACAAGCGTGTGATTGAGAGGTTCGAGAAGGAAGCTGCTGAGATGAACAAGAGGTCCTTCAAGTACGCATGGGTGTTGGACAAACTTAAGGCCGAGCGTGAGCGTGGTATCACCATCGATATTGCTCTATGGAAGTTCGAGACCACCAAGTATTACTGTACAGTCATTGATGCCCCTGGCCATCGTGATTTCATCAAGAACATGATTACTGGTACCTCCCAGGCTGATTGTGCTGTCCTTATCATTGACTCCACCACTGGTGGTTTTGAAGCTGGTATCTCCAAGGATGGTCAGACCCGTGAGCACGCTCTTCTTGCTTTCACCCTTGGTGTCAAGCAGATGATTTGCTGTTGTAACAAGGTAAATTTTTTGCCTGTTTTTAATATTAATGTTCTGTTGTTGATAGTCTTTTTTTATTTATACTAACAGATGTCCTTTTATCTATGCTTCTTTTTTACAGATGGATGCCACCACCCCCAAATACTCCAAGGCCAGGTACGATGAAATTATCAAGGAGGTGTCTTCATACCTGAAGAAGGTCGGATACAACCCTGACAAAATCCCATTCGTGCCCATCTCTGGATTCGAGGGAGACAACATGATTGAGAGGTCCACCAACCTTGACTGGTACAAGGGACCAACTCTTCTTGAGGCTCTTGACCAGATCAACGAGCCCAAGAGGCCATCAGACAAGCCCCTTCGTCTTCCCCTTCAGGATGTTTACAAGATTGGTGGTATTGGAACGGTGCCAGTTGGACGTGTTGAGACTGGGTTGATCAAGCCTGGTATGGTTGTGACATTTGCTCCCACAGGGTTGACCACTGAGGTCAAGTCTGTTGAGATGCATCACGAGTCTCTTCTTGAGGCACTTCCTGGTGACAATGTTGGATTCAATGTTAAGAATGTTGCTGTGAAGGATCTCAAGAGAGGATACGTTGCCTCAAACTCCAAGGATGACCCAGCTAAGGGTGCTGCTAACTTCACCTCCCAGGTCATCATCATGAACCACCCTGGTCAGATCGGAAACGGTTATGCCCCAGTTCTCGATTGCCACACATCTCACATTGCAGTCAAGTTCTCTGAGATCTTGACCAAGATTGACAGGCGTTCTGGTAAGGAGATCGAGAAGGAGCCCAAGTTTTTGAAGAATGGTGACGCTGGTATGGTTAAGATGACTCCAACCAAGCCCATGGTTGTTGAGACTTTCTCCGAGTACCCACCATTGGGACGTTTCGCTGTTAGGGACATGAGGCAGACCGTTGCTGTTGGTGTTATCAAGAGCGTGGACAAGAAGGACCCAACTGGAGCCAAGGTCACCAAGGCTGCAGTCAAGAAGGGAGCCAAATGATGAGACTCTCGTTAAATGGTTTCTTTTGGTTTTAAAACTTTGATGGCGTTTGAGCCGTTTTCTCTCTCTTTATTTCTGTGACTTTCTTCTTTCTTCCTCCTTTTTGGATCTCTGAGACTTTTATTATGGTTTTAAATTATGCATTTTCGGATAATTTTGCTTAAAAGTTATTTAGGATTTGTGTTACAAATTAACTCGTCTCTTTGCTTTATATTACTTTTAAGACGATAACTCTTAATCAACTCCTAAAAGTAACAAATATGAGTTATTTAAGAGTTGTCTTGCAAGTTAACAGCTTTGTATAAGTTAAGAGCTGTAGAACGCAGCTTTATTCCGACATATGGTTTGCTACTCCTTCCTTCTTAGATAGGAATGAAACCGAACAAGCAGTTGAAACTGTAGAAATTACAAACGAAAACGCTCGGAACTAAAACCCAAAATATATGGATAAGGCCAAAAGGAGCAGCTTAAAACATCACACCAACGACAAATAAACGTGTCAACAACAACAATGAAAATCATCATGGATCTGCAGTTTTACAAGAAACATAACTCAGTGGGATCTAAATAAAAAGCATTTTTGGGATTTCTTTTTTTTTTTTAATACTAAGCAGCATTAGCTGTGTGGGAAGAAAAGCTCCACGAGCCTAGATCTTGTAATAAAGCAAAACACACTAAGCAGCTTTAGCTGTGTGAGAAGAAAAGCTCCACAAGCCAAGATCTTGTAATAAATCAACTAGATCTCTAACGTCTTTATCCTCTCTCATCCCTTGAAGCTGCTCTGCACCTTCTTCACCGTGGTTTAGGCACGCATCTCTACCTTCTGATCTCCTTCTCCTCTGTATCACCTTCCTTCTCTTGTCATGATCTGCCATTCTATATCACAGAGACAGAAACAGAAAGAGAGAGAGAGTGAGAAAGAGAAGAGTCAACTAAACAGAGAAGATCTCAACATAGATTTAAGATATGGAAACAGAGGCATATATTACTCTCTGGGGAGGCTTAATTGCTGAGTGATCCCAGGGATGCAGAGTGGAAACCCATAGTTCCCACTAAGAGTTGTTGACAGCATTTCTCTCTTTCCTTGAGAGTAAAATTTGGATCTTTGTTTTCAAGAAAATCCAAGGAAGAATAAAAAGAGAGACAAAGATCTTGAGAATTGGGAATGGGTTAAAGAGGGTATAGATATATACTAGTACTATGTAATTAATAATTCCCTTTCTATTAAGTAAAATATATGAGAGTTAGATTTTTTGTCCTGTGGTGTGTGTTGTGCATTTGATACTTGGGAGTTGGGAGAGACCGAGAGAGTAGAGTAGTAGGTAAAATAGGTATGGTCTCTTCCTATTCTCCCATCAATATGCATTAATCAACTTTAAAGAAACCAAGAGCAAAAATTTTAGGATCTTGTAGAAAATAATGAAAAATATAAAAAAAGATAGGTTTCATTTACCTTTTTCCTCAGCATGATAATAAAGACAACTCTTATTATACTTATAGTTTTGGATTCTTCCTCTTCTTTCTTTTCTTTTCTTTTCTTTCTCTCGTTTGGATTGATAAAAGCATTGACGAGGACAATAAGGCTTTTCCAGCGAGAATATAAATGCAGCCTCACCTGTACAATCATATCAACTTTGTAAACCAACTTGTTCAATAAAAAGTAATTCTACCTAAGCTTCTCTGTTAACCAGAGTCTTAGAAACAGTAACATCACTTTTTCATCATTTATTACACAGACAACACAACATCAAGCAGATTCAGACAAGGGCATGTAATAGAAATTTAAAATGATGATTAGAACAAGTCTTGCAATGGTCTACAGAAACCTAACATAGTTACCCTTTAATCAAAATACAAACCTGCAAATCAATATGTGTGTTTGTTGACACTTATGCTTATGAAATTAGAGCTTTTAGAATCCTAGTCGGTATGGATAAGTGTCACAAGAATCCACTTGCTTGAGTGGAGCTACAAAAGTGACAATGTAGGAGCTGTTCATGGTACATAGTACCAACATTATACAAGGACTAGTTATGTGGATATGTAGTTTCTTTTTAGATTTGCCATGGGACCTTGATGACGTGTGCCTTACCCCATTGTCACTGAACTGAACAAAATTGCCACCATTGTCACTGAACATGTACATATGTAACATCTGAGAATAGATGCAAAAATCAAAGAGCTCAAATCAACTACAGAACCTACACAAAACAAAACAATATATTCAAATGTAAAATCTAGGAGATGAAGGTAATGCCAAATCACTGGAGATGACGTTAACACGATGATCTCACTTGAGATAATAATCTTGAAAACCATTTGATTGCAGCCACATAGAAAACGGCAAACTAAATGACAATAAAGGGCAACGATAGTGACTGTATAAATTAAGTCCACTCTTCTTAGGCACTTATGTTAATATATATATATAAGGATGAGATGAATCTAATACAATGATTACAGAACCATCATATGAGTGGTCTTGCTTCTTCTATGGTTTTTGAAACTGCAAACAAAGATTCGCTTCGCAGGAGAGATAGCGCCATCGCCTAAGTTTAACTAGCGGTGACGGTATCTCTCCTACGTAGCAATCCTTATATATGCATCTTTATGCAGAGAGATGCAGCTCCAAGTTTAAAGGTATTTCGGCTATTCTACTATTATTACTTGCTTTCTAACAAATGATGCATACACCATTTCAAGTCCTAGTTTTGTTTCTGCATCTATCTTTGCACTTACATTGACTGCAAAACATTGCTCACTAGAGGACCTTAGTTTTAGCCTCTAGATTGTCTTCTCAAACCTACAATGATTGATAATCTGTTCCAAGACAGGTTCTTGCTCTTTGCTTAAAAAATGTTTTGGTCTTTTATAGAAGTTTTCTCGGCGAGAAGCTGAAACGATTAGCCAGTACATCCTCAGCCTGAAAATTTAAGGAAAAGCTAATCAATTTATGTGTTGTTTTGCAGAATTTGGGTTGATTCTCACTCACAAGTGTCTTGTTTTCTTTGTTTTCATGCTTTGGTTGTATTCTCATATATATATATGGCTTTCCATTTCTAATCAACAAATGGACTTGGATGAGGAACGGACCATCTTTTATATACAGAAAGAAGAATACTTATATAATTAAATGTGTGCAATATTGTTTTTTAAAGTAAATATATGTCCACGAATCAATTTGCTTATACGAAACCACACGTACGTACAATTTGGAGGATAAGACATGATTTTCCTATAAAGGAGAAGCGTGAATCGATTTCTAAAACCAATGTTACAAATCAAGACGACAAGCCCAACAACAAGCCCAACAACATTCAAATGATTCAGCCTACCAAGCCCACCATTCAACGGTCATCTCTGCAAGCTCTGCAATCTCTGCAATTGACAAAAGACAAAAACAAACAAATTGCAGAAGAAGCTTCAGGAAACAGTACGATCAATGTGATAGAGACAAGGAACAGATTTGATGCTCTTAGCCCTCTACAAGGTGATGACATGTGTCAAGGGAACTAGGGTTTTACCAAAGTATAAATAAGAGGCTCAGCCTCATGTAATCAATTAAGAGAGTATCAAATTATAAAAACAAAAAAACTTTCTTCACTGTCTTTCATTTCCCACATGTTATTCTGCATGTTTTACGGACCATCGTCTCGCAATTGAGTATGAATATATATACTTATCTGGTCTACCAAGCAATCCACAGATTTACCCGTCCAGTTGAATTCGTAGTTAAACTATGATCCAAATATAATATATGAGTTCTCAGTAGAAAAAGAAAATAACTTTTTAAACATGAGATATGTTTTCGAATTCTTCAACTTAGAACAGTTGGAACTTGGAATCAAATAATAATAATCTACACAATGTACAATATATTAGAAATGTGACCAAATTCATCCTAAAAACTAGTTCAAAGGTTAAGAATTATCATATTGTCCAAGGATCTTTATTCGAATCGAAGTAGGTCGATTTTTTAGATTGTAATACAATACCACAGAATAATATGAAAAAGTTGTTTGACAAGTAAAAAATTGGTCGCTACTCAAGTGACTGAATATAATATAAACTATATAAAAACTAAATTTAAAAAGAAAAATTACCATTAAAAATTACCATTATATATATATATATTCTTCTTTTTTATGTGATCAAATTTTTTTGGTAACTCAAATTTTATGACCTAATAAATTAGATTGTGACAACACCCTAAATTAGAACGATGGCAATACTTTTTTGGTTATAGAATAAATACGAACAATAATTAATAGTCCACTAGCAAACAGATTTTTGATAATAGCTAACCGATCCGGTCCGGTCCGGTCCGGTTAGTCCAAGAGCTGACGTGGGATTCGATTAAAAAAATTACAAGACAGGGCGTTACGGTCGTAAAAAACATAAGTACATAACATATGAAAGTGGTGGTGAGAACCGAAAGTCAAAAAACACGTCTTAAGATATTGGTGGTGGTGGGGGAGAGACGGTGCACGTGACCGCACAGGAACTAAACCCGGACGTATTGCCCGTCATTAAACCGGATTTGATAATCGGCGACTGGTCCGGCTGCCCTTCTTTTGTTTTCGTCTCGGCGGATCAAACTTTTTTGTTCCTCCGTCTCGAGTTTGTGTTGTCTTTTGGACACCTAAAAAAAAAAACAAATCTTATCGAAGCTGTGAAAACCCTAGTTTCAAATTCGTCTCTTTTAACCTATCAATTTTGGCATATGTCATGATGCAGTATCCGATTTCTTGGTTTGTGTTTCCCGTTTTTTTTTTTGTTTTGTTTGGGTTTGGGAATTGAATTTGAAGGGTTTTTTTCTTCGTTTTGAGTAATTCTCTCTTGTGTTTATTGATGTTGCTTTAGATCGGCTGCTGTATGGAGACTGTTTGCTGTGAATTGGTACTTATATTTGGAGTCTACGTTCCTGTGTTTTGAAACTGAGCTTTTTGCTTCTTCTTTGTTTGTCTGGAGCTTGAAGACATGGATTTGGAAGCTAGCTGTAAGGTATTATTGACTTGAGAGATCTGTGCTTGTTTCGGCTGCTTGTGTTTTTTTTCATTATCTGTCTTGATTGCAACTTGTTTATGAATGTCTTGATTGTTTTTTTTTTTCATAGAGTGGATGTTTCAAAAAACTTTGCTTTTTATTTATTTATTTACAACTTTTTTCATCTTCTGGATTTTATTTCTGTGAGAAAATAAAACGATGCTTTATTTCATAAGGGTTTTGGATTCGTGGTTCATGTTTTATGGATTTGGTATTGCTCTAGTAGTTAGTAGGCTCAATGTTGAGTTTCTTCTGTGTTGCAGGATAAGCTTTCATATTTTCGGATAAAAGAGCTCAAGGATGTGCTGACTAAGCTGGGACTTTCGAAACAGGGAAAGAAGCAGGTTAATATATTTCTGCTGATCTTTGGTTTGTTGTAATTATGGTTTGTGATTGTTTTCAATGGTCCTCGCGCAGATGATGATGTTCAGATGGTTATAATTGGACCTCTAGTATGTATTTGGTGATAAATTTTGTTTTGTCATGAACTATACAGCAATTGCTAAAATGAATCTACGGTCTATATACCTTGCAATCTGTTTCATTTGAAGCTAGCTGCTTTCTTTCACCAACTTGTGTTAGGTATAGATATGCATTAGTCTTCTGTGAGCATTTGTAATTTTAGATATTCACTAAGCTTATGCTCACAGGTTACACTGATTTATACTCGGGTTACCAACTTGGATTATTGGCATTGTGAAAGATGTGTTTTTTTTTACCATGTTTTTTCTTTTTTTCTTGTGCAGGAACTTGTTGACCGGATTTTGACCCTTCTTTCTGATGAACAAGGTTAGTTAAAGCACTTGTTTTTTATTCCTGTCTTGGTGTATATAATAATATAAAATCACCTCTCGCTCTACCATTTGTTCTGATAAGCTTCTGTCTTTATTCCGTAATAACAGCTGCAAGGTTGTGGTCTAAAAAGAATACAGTGCCAAGGGAAGAAGTTGCGAAACTAGTGGACGATACATATAGGTGAGTACTCTAATTCAAAACAGATCTCTTATGAAATGCCATGCTTTTGCTGTCTGATTCTTTGTTACCGTAATGTTTTCTTTTTGTGCTCCACAGGAAAATGCAAGTGTCTGGGGCAAGTGATTTAGCATCAAAAGGACAAGTAAGTTCAGATACCAATATTCTGAAAGTTAAGGGGGAGCCTGAAGATCCCTTTCAACCAGAAATGAAAGTTCGATGTGTTTGTGGAAATTCACTTGAGACAGACTCAATGATACAGGTAACCTGGGAGAAACATTTTGTGTCTATTCGTGTTGCAACTGGCTGTAGAACAATTCTTGGTACATTGTGGCCGATGATGTTATGTATTTTTTATTGATTCCATTTGTGAAGTTGGGTGATAGTTTCTGGTAAAAATTATATTTTTTTCCCTGGTTTCAGTGCGAGGATCCAAGATGCCATGTTTGGCAGCATGTTGGCTGTGTTATTGTCCCAGATAAGCCTATGGATGGAAATCCACCACTTCCTGAATCATTTTACTGTGAAATCTGCCGACTTACTCGAGCTGACCCGTAAGTTTTTAAGGATTTTAGTTTTCTTGTCTAAGTGAAAGTTTGAGTTGTAATTAATTATCATCTGAGCTCCTCCCCTACTGCATGATAATTCTTCTTCCTAGAAGTAAAAAGAATGACATATTGACATGCTTTTGTTCTGGTTTCTTTATCTCCTTGCATTTGATTGCTGTTCTTCTTCTAGTACTGTTTCACTTTTCATAGTAGTTACGGTTTTCTTGTAAATTTCTATTTTTATATTAGCACTCATTGGTTATCCATGAGAATTGTTATTTATGGTTTTCCTACATGGTCTTCATTGTGCAGGTTCTGGGTTACCGTGGCACATCCGCTCTCTCCAGTGAGGCTGACTGCAACGACCATCCCATCTGATGCGTAAGACTCTTATTTTACTTTTGCTATTTTTCTGAATTTGTGTACTTTTAATGCCATTCTTTAAGGTTACAATCTGTTGGCAGTGTTTACATTAGAAAGCTAAAGCATTGTGTGAATAAGTACTTTTTATTTTCTTTTGTATCCTTTCTTTGGGAAGTAGTTATAGTGGTGGATTAAGTCTCTATCAAAGTCCTGCTAATCACTTGAAATTCAACTCGGAACTGGTGTAAGACATTCATCTAGTATCTAGAGAACAAAAATCACAATTATTTCCTAGCTAAATGCACAACACCTGCTCAAGAAATACCTTTGCTGGCTTCTGTTTGTTCTAATACTCCGTTCCAAAAAATTTCAGTACAAACACAATGCAGAGTGTTGAGAGAACATTTCAAATCACAAGGGCAGATAAGGACTTGCTAGCCAAACAAGAGTACGATGTTCAGGTTGGGTTTTGTAAAGTACGTTAAGTATGTATAGCTGTATCGTTGTATGTGTTTCTAACTGGAATTCGTTTTTGTAGGCTTGGTGTATGCTCTTAAATGACAAAGTTATCTTTAGGATGCAATGGCCTCAGTATGCTGATCTGCAGGTCAATGGTATGACAGTGGCATCTTCAGAGTTTTTAACAGGGATTGGGTTTTTTGTACATATAGTCATAATTCCTATGGGCCCATCACATTCACATTGGCTTAAATTTTTATGTTATTCTGAATTTTCGATTATATCAATAAGACTGCTTTATCTTCTGATATGGGATTGATATATAGCCTATCATTTTGTAGGCCTTCCTGTACGTGCAATAAACCGACCTGGGTCACAGCTATTGGGAGTCAACGGCCGCGATGATGGACCTATTGTGTGTTTTTTATCCCTTTTCCATAGTAAATTTTCACTTAATTATAGGATTCGATCTATCATACATTGAAAATCTTGCAATCTGTGGTAAAATTTGTAAATATCTCATTATTACTATTTTGGCAGATCACACAGTGTATTAGGGATGGAGTTAACAGGATTTCATTGAGTGGAGGTGATGTTCGGATCTTTTGTTTTGGAGTTAGACTTGTGAAGCGCAGGACTCTACAACAGGTACTGATAACAAATAGTGCAGAAGAAACATTCAAAGATTTGGTCGGTTTATGGGGGGCAATAGTTATAAGTGTCCAAATAAAATAGAAAATGATCTTTTGAACACAAAATGAAAGAAAGAATTTTCACTTGGCATCCAAAAATGTAATCTGTGGGAGTTACATGTGGTTACACACTTACATTTAGCTATTCTCCCGTTTTGGCAGCTTCAAATTTTAGAGACCTATATGTGCGTTCTTGATTTCACTCACTGAGCTGGGCTTGTATGATTCTTGGTATACCACAGTACAAGAGAAACTTTGTAGGATTGCAGTTGGTTGCTTAGTGTAGTCTGTCCTCATGCTGCGAATTTTATTTCTTTTTGAATCACTATATTTATTTTGCTAGTTCTTTAATGATTTCTGGTTCCTATATATTTACTCATTTTTGCTTCTAGGTTCTAAATTTGATTCCAGAAGAGACTAAAGGGGAGACTTTTGAAGATGCTCTTGCACGAGTCCGCCGATGCATTGGAGGTGGAGGTGGAGATGATAATGCTGACAGTGATAGTGATATTGAAGTTGTTGCTGATTTCTTCGGTGTCAATCTTCGGTGTCCTGTAAGTTACTTATAGCTCATAGCTCAGATTTTTATACTTATCATCTTTCTAGTTTTATCTGGCAGACTAAACTTGTATCGTCTTTTCTGCTTGTGTCATTAGATGAGTGGTTCTAGGATAAAAGTTGCTGGGAGATTTTTACCATGTGTGCACATGGGCTGTTTTGACCTTGACGTATTTGTGGAGTTGAATCAACGTTCCAGAAAGGTAGTGCCCTATTTGTTTGTCTAGGTAGTAAGTTATTTCTCCTTTTTCCTATCTGACTTTAGTTGTTCTGTGGTTTGTTAACATGCAGTGGCAGTGCCCTATTTGTTTGAAGAACTACTCAGTGGAGCATGTAATTGTGGATCCTTATTTTAACCGTATCACATCTAAGGTATACTAATGGGAATATTATAATTCTTGAATCTTTGTATCTATGCTTTTATTCAATTATTGTCTTCCTGCACTACAGATGAAGCATTGTGATGAAGAGGTGACTGAAATTGAAGTGAAACCTGATGGTTCTTGGCGTGTAAAGTCCAAAAGAGAGAGTGAGCGTAGGGAACTGGGGGAACTCTCACAGTGGCACGCACCTGATGGTAATCTTTGTCCCTCTGCTGATGAGGTTAAACGGAAGATGGAAATGTTACCGGTTAAACAAGAAGGTGTCTCAGATGGCCCTGCCCCTCTTAAACTTGGAATAAGGAAGAACCGCAATGGCATTTGGGAAGTTAGCAAACCTAATGCAAATGGATTATCTTCCAGTAATAGGCATGATAAGGTTGGGTATCAGGAGAAGAATATTATACCAATGAGTAGTAGTGCTACTGGAAGTGGTAGGGATGGTGATGATGCAAGTGTGAACCAGGATGCAATTGGAACCTTTGACTTTGTAGCCAACGGCATGGAACTTGATTCCATTTCCATGAACGTTGATTCGGGTTATAACTTTCCTGACAGAAACCAATCTGGAGATGGTATGAATAATGAAGTCATCGTTCTAAGTGATTCGGATGAAGAAAATGATTTAGTAATCACTCCGGGACCTGCATACAGTGGTTGTCGAACAGATGGTGGGCTGAATTTTCCACTTAACCCTTCTGGAATAATTAACTCATATAATGACGACCCACACAGCATAGCTGGGGCAAGTTCACGCTTAGGTCTTTTCAATGACGATGACGAATTTGATACTCCCCTTTGGTCATTTCCTTCTGAAACTCCAGAAGCCCCTGGCTTCCAACTATTTAGATCTGATACTGATGTCTCAGAAGGTTTAGTTGGCTTGCATCATCACGGTCCACTAAGCTGTGCTCCTGAAATAAATGGGGGTTACCCGATGGCTCCTGAGACATCAATGGCATCTGTTCCTGTGGTTCCTGGCTCGGCTGGACGATCTGAAACAAACGACGGCCTAGTTGACAATCCTCTTGCATTTGGTAGAGACGATCCCTCACTTCAAATTTTTTTGCCAACAAAACCAGGTGCTTCTGCTCAGTCGGGTTTAAAAAACCAAGCTGATATGTCGAATGGTATCCGCAGTGAAGACTGGATCTCGCTTAGGCTAGGCGATAGCGTTACTGGGAATCATGGAGAGCCTGCAACTGTAAATGGGATTAACTCAAGCCAGCAGATGTCTACAAGGGAAGGTTCTTTGGAGACTACTACAGTGACCGGTTCGTTCCCTGTCTGAGACTAAGTATTTACTTTCCTGAAAACATCGAAGGGACCTATGAATGTGGACCGGTTCATGGTGTCGTATTTACATTTTCTTCACTTTACTAAGCTGCTAGGTCTTGTAAACAACTGAAGAAGAAAGATGTGTTTAGTTTATAAATGTAGCTTATTTTGTCTTTTGACTATGCTTCTATATATCCAAAGTTTATGTGGTACTACAATAACTGACTATTACTGGGTATTTGCAGCTTCGTTGCTTCTGGGTATGAATGACAGTAGACAAGACAAGGCAAAAAAGCAAAGATCAGATAATCCATTTTCATTTCCTCGGCAGAAGCGTTCTGTAAGACCTCGGATGTACCTCTCCATTGACTCGGATTCTGAGTGAAAATATTCTTCCTGTTTTGTTCTGTTCCTGTTCTGTCTCGTCTGGGGATGATTCGGTGTTCCTTTGGATTATTAACGCTATGCACAGAACAATGAACAGGATCATCAGACAGCACACCGGAGTTTGCCAAGATTTGCAAGATTCTCTGTACAGGCAAGAATTGAACCGGTATTGATGTTTTCTCTTGTATGATGTTGTTGACTCTCTTCAGTATCGGTTCAGAATCTTGGCCTTGTCTACCTTACACTGCAGGATGTATTTTGCAAAGCAAAGCACTACTGGCTGATTTAGATACACTAATAGGCAAGATAAGTTGGCACAGGTGGTTCCGGTTTAATTGGTAATTTTGTATACTCGAATAGGTTTTTTTCTTTTTAATTGTGGACGATGATAATATTACTCGGAAGCCAGGAGCCATAGAGAGATATAGCATTGTAAATTATGTGCTCCAATTTTTATTTATTTATTATTATAAAAAAAATGCAGCTCTTTAAATCCTCCATTGTAGATTGTGCTCAATGCATCGTTGTTCATCTTGGAGACACGTGCAACTATGCCTTTGGTTTTGTTTACTCTGCATAATTTTTTCCTGGTGGATCAGTGTTTAAACCCCGGATAGCTAAACATTGTATACAATATGATTAGACCATTCAATTAGCATTGTAATATTTTATTAAGTAAGGAATATCTATTCTAAATATAAAAATTGCAAGATATTATTCTGTCATAATATTGGTAGTAACACAACGATGGTACTAGACCCACTAGAAAATACATCAGACCTAAGCAATCCTAGTATGCCAGTATAACCCCTTTAGGATTATATCAGACTCAATTTTCTAAAACAGATATTAGACAAGACTAATATCTTAGCATATATATACTACACACAGTATATACTAAGAGAAAATTAATATATATATATATATCTAATATTTTGTATATGCTAAGAAAAAAATGATTCTCAAGAGATATATATTGTTAATATGTTCTTGATAAATTCTTAAAACTAATCATATATTTATAGCAAAATAACAATCACTAATTATATAATAGTTTAATATGTTTTTTTTAGAGCAAGTTTGTAAATATTTCCTAAAATCCTTAATCAATTTGAAATAGTCAGGTATTTATTACCTAGTCAAAGAGTTTCATGAACAAGAATTTTAAGATATATATATATATATATAGTCCAATCACGTATTTCCAAAAAGAAATTCATATCTATTTATTATTTTATTATATTAATAATTATCTTACTATCATATTTCTACTTCTTATTTTTTTTTTTAAAAGATATCACTATCTAAAGCATAAGTTAGTAAAACCCATTTGATAAAACTTTGAACTAATAATAAATATTGAATTTTACAAAATTATTTGAAGATCTAGGGACTTGGCGGGTACTAAGTTTATTACTATGATAAGAGTCTTTAGAAAAACACTGACTTTATACATACTCCATCCATTCCTAATTGATATTTTTCTAGTTTTTTTACACATATTTAGAAAAAAACATATAAAGTTGATGATAATTATATCATTTTTTGTGATTCACGGGTTTTTAAAACTCTAAACCAAGATTATTTAGTTACTTACCTTGAAATTTATAAATTTTAATTAATAATGCATTGATAAGTGATAACTTAAAACAGTTATCTTTTTAAAACATTTTTTTTCTTAGAAAAATATCTTTTAGGAATGGAGAGAGTAATTTATAACCATGCACCCTATAAAAATATCAAAAAAACTTTTACAAATATTATCTTATACAACTACTATTTTACTTTTTTGGATGACATTTACATTCTACATAAATAAGTTGGATCGTATTATATTAATTACTACATAATTAATTTTCTGGATATAAACCGAAATTTATTTTTATTGTGTTTTATTCATTCATTTTTTCCTTCATGAATCCATCTGAGATTGGAGGGTTATAAATATCAATGAAAATAAGATGCCTCCATTTCATCATTATTAAAATATGTCATTAACATGAACGGATATGTAGCCAATAGTGATAAAACACGTGTTTTTTAAATAGTGTCTAATGTAACGGCATATTTATGTTATTAGTATATTAGAACTAATAACGTATTTGGCATGGTCACCATATTCTATATAACGCCCCAAACAAAATAATTGATCTTAAAACTCCCGATTATACCGTTTAATCTCATGGTATCCGTTTTGACAATTTTACTTTTTGTAATTAACACAAATAACTAAGTTTTCTATATTCACAAAGGAACATATTTAGCGAAAAATTTAGAAACTCATTTCATCCTATAAATAATTTGTTGAATGTTTTTAATTAAATCTATTTTTTTAAATCTACTCTCTTGAAACAAAACAAAATATACTATTTTGGATGATAATTACATCTTATTAAGGTTTTCTTCGTATATATATTATTATTATTATTATATATATACAAATATCTATATGAAATACGATAAAATGTACATAGTCATGTCTGACTCAATCTTAAATCCATCCAAGGGGTGGCCTAGTTATAACAACTAGAATCACATAAACATTTCATAATATATATCTTAATTATATATTACAAATCAATCAATAATAACGTAAAAAATTGTTCAACGATTATGAATGTATTAATAATGTAACGTAATATATTTGTTATAACAACTGTCAAGAAAATCATATAACTATTTCGTCGTCCAAATTTTTGTTATTGATAACAAATCAACTGCCAATAGCGAGAGAAAACATGTCATACTTTAGATCATGATAGTGATTAAAATCGCATGAATATGAAAACATGTCATTAGTACATTAATTTTATAGTTTAATGTTTTCAATAATTTGTGAAAGTTTGTGTATCATAGAGTACCCATATTTGATTTCAGATTCTGTCACTAACATGTCAAAAAAAAATTTATTTTTTGGAATAATCTTTTCCTATATTTGTGTTGCTAAATCTCTATTTTTCTAATAGAGTTTTTATTAGATATGTAAAGATCACAACAAATTAAAGGTGCATCTTTCTGGCAGATTTTGATTCATTGTACAAATGAAATGACAATATAATAGTCAAATAAATTTAAATTGCATACCTTATATTGACTGAATATGAAGATTATGAAATGTTGCAAAAATGGTATTACAGAAATTCAAATATAAATTATAAGAAACCAATATTGAATTTTGCTCTTAAAATTAATCTTGATTCAGTAATACCCTATTATAAATAGTTGAACATTTTCATGCTGAAAACACCAATCTATAATTTATCTTCTCAAATATCACAAAAGAAAAAGAAAAAAAAGAAAAAAAAATGGTGAAAAAAAGCAAAGGTCGCCAAAAGATAGAGATGGTGAAAATGAAAAATGAAAGTAACCTTCAAGTTACATTTTCGAAAAGAAGATCTGGACTTTTCAAGAAGGCTAGTGAGCTTTGCACACTTTGTGGTGCAGAAATCGCCATAATTGTGTTCTCACCTGGTCGAAAAGTGTTTTCTTTTGGCCATCCAAATGTTGAATCTGTTATTGATCGATTCTTGAACAATAACCCCCAGCCTCCTCACCAGCACAACAACATGCAACTTAGCGAAGTCCATAGGAACTCTGTTGTTCAGGATTTGAATATCCATCTTACCCAGGTAATTCTTTTTTTTTTTTTTTTTTTTAATGTGCAATTGTTTTTTCTTTTGCGTGTTTTGTATACAATTTTTATTTCACATGACAAGTGGGAAGTTAATTTTAATTTTATAAATTTTGATTTTAATCCACATAAAATTATTATATATCTTGTTCCATATTTTTATTTTCATTTTATAAATTTTGATTTTAATCCACATAAAATGATTATATATCGTGTTCCATATTTTAATTTTAATTTTATATATTTTGATTTTAATCCACATAAAATAGTTATATATCGTTTTTTGTTAAGTAAGAAGTTTTTGTATGTAGATAGTCTCTTTGCACAAAACCATAGCATATTGAATTGAATATATATATCTTAGGCATCTAGCTTGTTCGTGTGGGTACGTAATCCAATTTAAAACTTTGGAAAAACTACTTTTGGAGTGGGATAATAACACCAGTTGATATATATTTGCAGCTGTTAAGCCAGCTCGAAGCTGAGAAAAAGAAGACCGAGGAGCTAAAGAAAATAAGAGAAACCACTAAAGCCCTAGGGCATTGGTGGGAAGATCCCATTGAAGAACTTGCTTTTAATCAACTCAGAGGATTCAAAGGTAACCTTGAGAATTTGAAGAAAATTGTTACACATGAAGCTTCCAAATTTTTTCAGGCAAATGTCCCAAACTACTACGTCGGAAGCTCTAGTAATGCTGCTTTTGGGATGGACGATGGGAGTCGTATCAACCCTGATATGGACATGTTTAGTCAAAGAAGAATGGTGGACATCAATGCTTTCAACTACAGCCAGAACTCGATGCACCCTAGTCATGCATTGCCGTTTGGATACAATACTCATGGTGAAAGCTTTGTTTCAGAATACAACATGAACTACCGACCAGAGTATAATAATCTGAACCAGAACCAGAGTTTTAAGAGAGAAAACATCTCTGAATATGAATATCATCATGGCCAAGGACCTCAGGGTCATCCTCATCCTCATCCTCCACACTCTAGGTCTGGTTACTAATTATCCTTTGTTATGTGATCCAATTTAAAAGCGTGTTTTTAGGTTATCGTTTATTTTTCTTGTTATGTTGCCTTGTTGCATTGTTGTTGTTTTCCTTCTTGAATTATGTTGTTTCTCCAGAATTATGTTGTTGTTAAATTCTAAATAAATTAATGTTGGAATCATTTATGTCATTTTTCTTTCGGAATGCATTACGCCTCTTAACTTATGCATTTTTGTGTAATTATTGATCCTTAAAACAAAATCATTGTAACTATAATCAGTCCTGTACATATCTACTTAGAAATAAATTTGCAATTTCACTCAAAAAATAAAAAGAAAAAACAAATCTTGCAAAAAAGCATAATGAAAATTTCTAAGTGCAGTATTTTATCAACGAAAAGGTAATGTACATACATCTCATCTCACAAATTTTATTTTTGGTAGAATACATCTCACATATTTTGGTACATTGTAACAAATAAAATGACAACATTACATTATTCTTTCCTATTATTTCATTCCTTATAATGATAGATATTCTTATTTTTCCTCTTTTTTTTCCTATTCTTTTCCTTTTATTTTTTATGAAATATTCTTAAAAATTATAAGGAATTTTTTTTCAAAACAGATAATAATTCTGATATAGGAAAAAATAGAATAAAATTGATTTCATTGAAACAATATAGCAAAATCAAAAGTTATTGAAAATATAATAGATTGATATTAACTTACTTTTGAAAAAAAAAATGTCACATGATTTTATTTAATTTGTACCATTTGCTATAATATTTCTTTTTCTTAAGAAAACTAAAATATCATCAAACTACATCAATCAATTCAAATAAATCACGGAAAGAATTCATTCATGAAAAAAATCATCATAAGTTGTTATGAAAATTTCAAAAGAAAGAAGTATATTGCTCTTTTTTTTAAAATAAAAAAAAACCTTAAAATCCAATGCACCACGCTTTACTCGCAAATTCAAAACCGCAAATATAAAACTCAGAAATCTTTTAGAGTAAAACGGTCCGAAACCATAGAGACAATAAGTATAACACAAACAAAGACGGAGACAGATTCAAACTTCGTTCATGTCTATTGTCAGCAAAACACACTTAAAAGAGCAAAAGGAAATAAACTTCTTTGTGGGTTGTTTATAATCAAACCCTAGTGACTGTAGGAGAAGAATCAGGCTGGCTCACAGAAGATGACTTTGATGCTTCCATCATTAGAGCAGCTTGTTCTAAACAACTCTTGTTATCATCATTTGCATTCTCCACCTCCTCTTTCGTGTACAAGTGTATCTTCCACACCACATTGCAGAAATCACTGGCCATAGCAAAGAGCCAATTAGTTAAGCAGCAAACAAGTTGCGGTTGCGTCGCTTTAGAAGATAGGTCTTAAGAACTTACTGCCATGGATCATCGCCAACGACCATCATATCGTTCTCACTATCAGTATATAAGATCCTCCATCCTTTTTCAGGATCCCTGAGAAGCCCTTCCATGTTGAACAACCGTTCAAGCTCTGTAAGGAGATCATCATACCCGTTTAGACGGGATAAATCAATAGCTCTCCCCACTTGGCTTCCTTGCTTGTGAACCTTTTGATAACATTTCAACACAAGAATTGATTAGAAGAGACATCTATCAATGCAGCTTCAACAAGCCAAAGAGATTTTTATAGCGAAATTTTTTTACCTTTGTGCAGATCCTTTTGCTCGAGCCTTGTGGGTTAGGTGTAGGTGTCTCCACAGGTAAGGAGAATCCGAAAAGCTTACATCCTGATGAAACATTCATATTAAATTCCCCACCTTTTTGTTTCCCCATCATATCAATCTTGAATGGCAAATCAGCTGTAACATTATTCGGTAGACCACTTTCATTTAGTGCATCAGACTTTCTAGTCTCTTCACCAAAGTTTATTGCACGAGAAGGGCGGCCCGAGGATTGGTTTCCCGCATTGTATGGATTCTGATATGGAACATGAGTGCTCCTAATCCCATGTAAAGCTAGTGGATAGAAACTTGACTTATTGGCTTGACGAGCAAAGGGATCGGTATATCCAAGAGTAGGCTTTCCTGAAGTAGCAGCTGGAGTGAAACCAGCAAATTGCGGGAATGACTTAAGCGAGCAAATTTCTTGACCTTGCAAGACCCTTGGAAACCTATCCAGGTCCATAACGCCTGAACAGGCAGGGTCTATAGCCGTAGCATCCACAAACTCACCAAATCGATCCTTCACTCTACTAGACAAAAGAACTGGATTTGCATGAGACTGCATCGCAAAATCCAGGATCCGGCGGTTCAAAACATCAAACCCTTGAGAGGGTGATGCAGAACCTATATTTTCTTGACCTTGCAAGACCTTAGAGGGTCTAACCGACTCCTCAAAGTCCAAAAAACCACCCCTTTCTGCAGCAACCAAGAACGATAGTCAATAATATACTGAAGACAGTTGAGAACTATTTGCTCCAAAAAGAGAGAGGAGTATTTAATATACCGGTTATGGGTTTTCTAGGTGGAGTAGTATCCAGTACACCTGCCCATGGCCTTTTAGGCCTTGGAGATGACTGAATACTCAAGTGTGGGAGAGAAACCGAGGGATCAATCTCCCAAGGTGAAACTCTTTCTTGGTGATCGCTCACAAAAGACTCATCCCACCTCACCTGCCAAAAAAAATATGAAAGATTAACTATCCATCCTTGAAAATGAAAAGTATTCTAAACGCTAACTGACAGATGTTCCAAATAGATGAGAGAAGACGCACCAAAAAGCACCTCCATTTAGAGTTTGGCCACCTATACGGGTCCAAGTCACAGACTCCAGTCACTACACCAGCACATCTGCAAGAAAGATCGAATTTAGATTCTCTTCCAAGAAAATTAGCAGAGGTTACAACAGAAAGAAAGAGAAGCAAGAAAGCAACAAAAACCTTCTCTCAGGAGAATCGTCCATTTCAAATCGCATTCTGAATCTTGTGCCTATGCAAACGGGATTCCTGATGGTAGTTACATACTTCTCATAAGGAATCACAAACTCTGCATGCGTTGCACTGTATATGAATGAACACATGAATCAATATTATAGTTCTTCTGTTATCCTACTGAAGCTAGTTAAGAGTCATAACTTATGGCAGTTTTTATTTTATGTTTACCGTGGACTATAAAACACATGAAACATGCTTTTTGTAGATACAGCATTGGCCACAGGAGACAGGATGTTTGAGCATGAATTCTTCTCAATGACTGAATCAGGAAGTCCATTTCTTGGCCGTGCTGCTCTTCTGATTCCTAATCTCAGCTCTCCATCTTCGTCTCTATAAACACATATGTTAGTTATGAATGTAACATCTTTGGTTCAAGAACTTCAAACCACTAAAAGCAGAGGAAAACACCACCATTCTACCCCATTCTTCGTCGTATATGGTAAATTGATATCTTATGCTTACCTCAGAAAGAGAACCGCATCACCAGAGACGAGATTCTTTTGACTGACGAATATACTCCAACCAGTGGTGAGTAGATGCCTCCTTGGTTGACCTATATAGAAATAGAACTGAACATTTAGAGATCATTGAAAAAAAAGGAAAGAAATGATTAACAGCAAACTCAAACCGAGCCACCTCTATAGATATGGCGAAACTTCCACTCTACTCCATGGAGGTCCTTTGCAATGAGTTCTTGAGATGGCCTTTGTTGTTTGTAATCCTAACCACCGTGAAAAATTTGAAAATAAGGCTAATAACAAGAAGATCAAACCTCTCCTCTTAAAATATGAAGGAAATGAGATATAGAGAACCATACAAGAGGAGCGAAACAATCTTCAGCAGCTCTTCTAGGTACAGAGAAGCCTCCATGTGTGCTTGTATCTGAAGCTGTCAAGGTTTTACAGAACATATGAGGCGTTCGTTTAACGGTTGAGCTTCCGTTCCGCTCTTCGTCCCCTCCTAACTCCCTGACCTCTTTCCCCTCCGGGTTTAGCATGGAAAACTATAGAAATCAAGAAGTATCTTCAACATATTAACGTCACTGAGATTATAAAAGCAAAGAAAAGAACACTATTCTTCAATTCTCTATGGTCCTCTTAAACAAATAATAGGCTCGAGTCACTAAGAGGAGAAACAAAATGATTCACTATCTCTTTTACAGTAGCATCACAAACTTCACAAATAATCTGGAATTACACTGTCAGATTAATAAGAAAGAATGTTTTCTACAAAATCTATGAATTTGCTCCTTCCAAACATGAAAATTGAATTGTAAAAGAACCTAACAGTAGAGTAACAAGAGTACCTCTTGCAGTGGAAGCAGAGTGACTTGAGTGTAGACCTCATCCGTTTCCTTATTAGCCTTTTCCCCCAAAGTAGGAACCAAAGTTGCAAACAATTACCACAATTAGAAAAAACAGAACTTGTTCAAGAATAGCAAAGAGAACACAAAAGGAATGATTTTTTTTTTTAATATGATAGTGATACAGACAGACTTACAAGCAATTGGACATTAACCACCCTGCAGAAGATTTGGGGATTAAGGTCAAATTTGGGGATTTCAAGAGGAGATGGAAAAGAAACCATAGCATCTTGCTCCAAATGACCTTGTGGGAAATACACAACTACATTGCCTTTGATGGGAAGAGAAGTGAGAGGACCCGCACAAGCATGCCACAGCTCAGAGTATATGGAAGAGGCAGAGCCTGTGGAAGAGGATGACGATGATGATCCGGAAGAGCATGAAGAAGAAGATGACGGTGAAATCCCAAGCCTAGCCTTGTCAATCCTTACTCCTACATCATCATTCTCCTCTTCCTCCACCTCCGCAATCTCAGTATTCAAGTCAAATTCCATTGAAAAAAAAAAAGCTTCTTAGAGGAGAGCAAGGAGACAAGAAAAAAAGCACAAACCAAAAGTTTCTATATTTAATCAGATTACAACAAAACAAGTAAACCCATTAAAAGGAAAGTTTTGAAAAATTATAGCTTGAAGTGACACAGTTCCTCTCCTTTTCAAGTAAAATTTAACAAAACAGCTAACGGGAGAGGAGATGAGGAATAATAAGTGTGGAATCACACGAATCAGAGAAAAAGAGAGAAGAGAGAGAGAGAGAGAGAGAGGAGAGAGAGGAGAGAGAGGAAGAGGAAGGAGGGGAATCAAATGAGAACAAGGGTTTCAAAGTATGATTCTTCTTCCTCCATTTGCAGGTACTGAGAAGAGGGAGCAGAAGGAACAGACATAGATAAATTTTTGCAGATTGGAAAAACGAAATTATTATAAGAATAAAATTTAGCAAAAAAGCAAAAAAAAAAACAATATAGTGGAGAGAGAAAGAGAGAGAGAGAGAGAGAGAGAGAGAGAGAGAGAGAGAGAGAGGGAGAGATAAGCGGGGGAGACAAAGCCAAGACAGAACAGAACCCACACCTACACTCTCTCTTTCGCCTCTTTCTTCTTCTTCTTCCTTCTTTTTACTTTTTATTTTTTATTTTTTATTGTTTCCTACTAAAGACTTTATTATTAAAATTAATAAATACAACACTATATACTTGTGTCAATATATATACACACGTTTACACGAAAAAGTTTACATTTTTTTTTACTAATTATTTCCTTTTTCGTTATTTTTTTTTTTGATATAGCAGAAAATGTCAAGAGTTTTGTTAAGTCCTTAACGAATGGCTAATTCAATTCATTGTCTAAATATTTTTTTATCTAAATTAGTTGATGGATGGATGTATAAATCCTATGTTTTAAATACGTCTAGCTATTGAAAATTATTAATATGCTTTCTTCTTATAAAATTCCGACATTTTAGTTGAGTTTTTTTTTTTCTTTTCTTGAAGTGCATAATCATATAATGGTTCATTTTTTTTAATACAAAAAGTTCACTCAAAATGAACCATAAAAAACTTCAAAGAAAATGCATATCGATCTATTGGACTATGACATTACGAAACAACAACGTAAACTTTTCTTTTGCATTCAACAAATCACAAACCGTGCGGTGCGTGAGAATGAGATGATCTTTAACATATAGATGGATTGAGGAATATAAATTGATTTAAACTTTGTTCTTTTGCAAGCAAACTCTTATTACAGAAGGAAACAGAGTATCTCCTTGGAATCTTTCTTTTTTCTGATGTTATGTTTTTTTTTTTTTGTCATCTGGTAATATTATATTATTTTCCAGTGTTTTTTTATTCGAAACAAATTTATTAATCACCTTCTTTTTTTTTTTTGCATTGCGTTGCGTTGATAAGAGCCAACCAACCGGCTAAAGACAGAAGAGTAGGCTCCTTTCGATTTTGTAACAAAAAGCACTTTTTTTACTCTCACTCTCTCTTTTTCTGAGACAAATAATATGAAAATCAACATTTTCTGTCATTGATAAACTTAAAGTATACTAGAATTTACCAAGTGGTACACCACGGGTCCATAATTTAATATATTTTTCATTTTTGTAATTGATTTATATAATTTAGTTTTGTATATGTTTATTTTATTTAATTTAATATAATTTTATAAATTTGTATTATAAGTAAATTCATAGATAAATGTGGTAAACCCGCGGTAAATCGCGAGACAATTTTGTTGTAAATAAAAAATTATATTTTAACTTAACCCGTAAAAGATTTTAAATATAGACAACCCGCAGAAAAATATAATCATATTTATGTAAACTAAAACCCGTTCAATCATATTATGTCCAATATTATTATATTTTAAATATTTGTAGAGTTAAAATATTAGTAATACTTTTAATTTTTGTAGAGTTTAAATATTTTTCATTATTTTAATATTCTATAAAAATTAAATAAAATATCAGAATTTTCAGCTTTTTAAAGTTTTAATATTTATCACATTTTAAACTTGTTAAAAATTAAAATTTATAATATTCTGAAACTTTTTAAAATTTTTATTTTCCTTAAATAAAGAATCGGATTAAGCTAATAAAAGTTTTAATTTGGATACTTGAGAAATCAAAGTTCATGCTCATTTGTAGTTGTAAACATATTAATCTTATTTATAAAAGTTTTGAACTATTATCTAAAATTTTATATTTTATGTAGACGTTGTACATACATATATTCTTTTCTTTATTGATTGAGTTAACTACGTCCGTTTTCAAAAATTTAAATTGCAAAATGTTTGGAAAAAAATTTGTATTTTTATTATAAACATATTTTATGCAATAATATAAATTTAAAACACATAAGATTATATAAATATATTGGAGAGAGATTCGGTTTATTAGAGAGGGATTTTAGGAAATTTTTTTATGTAATAAATATTTGGTTTCCAATTTTGGGATTTGCTTGTGATTTAATTACAAAATTTACTTTTAAGTTTTTTTATTTATTCAAATGGCAAGAGTTTAATTATGCAAATATTACAAAATAAAAGGTTATAAGCCAAAATAGATTTTAGTACAAAATGTACTTCAAAAATGTTAAGATAGATTATATAGTACTATTGCTTAATTAAAAAAAAATCATATCAGCATGGCTAGACTGTAATAAAAATTTATATTCAATAACCACACCGACTCATACGGTAAAATCTACTAATATCTTCAAAACGGGATTTACTAAATAACTAAATACAGTATAGATAAATATATTTGATGGTGGCACATCGTTCTTCAAACATAACATGGTTAAGTTGCTCTTTTATAGTTTTGCTATTAATTCATAAAACATGATCAAAGTATTATTTATTAATCATATATATAATATAATATATGTTTTTTTTTCTTTGTAAGAGTTATCATGTTTGAATTCATGTGTCGCTTTAACTTAATATCATAGCATGATCAGTTTACTATATGACGACAGAACTATTTTTTAGCCACAACATTAAAAAGAAGATTGACTATTCTTTTCACATATATATCTGAGCAACTTACTTGTTTTCACTCTTAAACAATCCTATTATGATAAAGAAGAAGAAGAAAGGAAAAACAATTATTTTACTTAAAACATTTATTATGATGGATCATATATAAAGAATAGCTATCTAGCGTTGATAAATTTCATTGGAGAGGAGAAAGAAAAACAAAAACAAAGAGGATCGGATGATGATGGGATGGGAGAGGGAGAAAGAATGAGTGAGTCCCAACAACTAACAAAGACCATCCCCCTCCTCCTTTAACACCCAACTTGTCTTTTTTTTTTTCATATATATGCAACTTAAAACTCACTTCTAAAACTAGCTTCAAATATTCTCTCTTTTTTCTTCTTCAAGTACTTAATTATTATTAATCAATTCTGATTAGAAGAAATATATCTTGTTTATTCTGATATTGCTCCACAACTCGAAACGTGTAATCTCTCTTCACGATTACCATATTCTTTTGTCTCCTGATCATCACTTTTAAGTCAAAGATTATCTTTTTAATTAGTATTTATATAATGAATGGATCGTATCCTTTTTCCATGTTTCTTTCCTAAACAAAAAAATGATATTTACTAAAAATATCTTTTTTTTTTTTTGCAACTTTTAGAACCATTGTTTGAATACTTTTTATAGCTAAGCCACATAAAATTTGTCACAATAAAACACACATAAACGTTCGGAAAATATTAGTGGTTCGAAAATTATCTATATAAACATAAACTTGTATGTGAGTTGTGTGATTTCCTACTGCCCAAAGTAAGATCCATTACTTGGATGCTATGACCATCCCACTCAAAGTAAACTTGGGTTATATGTTCATATATCCTTAATTATATCGGTCTAGTCTTTTACATCGCTCTATTTTACGTTATCAGCCATCACGCTCTATCCTGTTTTGTTCTTTTCTCAATATCATCAAAGAAACGATTCATTAATAATGAAAAAAGCTCTATAAACTTTCAAAATTAGGATGTCTATATCCCTTTATTTTGTTGAAATTTCAGTTTCATGCAGAGATAACTTTCGATACCAATTTATCAATTTTCATTTTTGAACTGATAGCTACAATTCGTTGCATGCATGTTGATTATAACTCTTTTGACCAAGTCGATTGAATTTAGTACTATATTTAGAAAGAAGAAAATTATATATTTCCATCTCAAAGATTCAGGGTCCTTATTACCACAAATTTGTTGCCATATATTTGTACTTATATATATATATATATATATCTATATATAGATATATATATATTATTTATAGTTTACGTCATTGCGCCATGTATCAAAAACTTTTGGAGTATCTGTGATTAGTAATGCATATAGTAAAGCCTTTCTCAAAAATAAATAAATAATGCATATAATTTTTTTAATAATAAATTTTATAAATTAAAGATTATTTTGGTGCCACAAATAGAGTTTTTTTTTATTAGAGATAGAAGAAGAAAAAAAAAGTTTTATGTTTTGGCAGAGAAACAAAATAATTTCTTTTTTTAAGAAAAAAAAAAGAAAGGGGGAAAAAGACAGAGGTGGGATAATTAGGAGAGGTCGTGTCAAACAAAAAAATTGTCGCGAGAAAACGACAAAGCAACGCCAATGACTTTATTAAAGTCACAAGTGTCTGTATCAATTCGATTAAAGACATGAACTCTCCTCTCTCTCTCTCTCTCTCTCTCCCTCTCTCTTTATTTTATTTTATAATAAAACCCTAAATACTATTTACCTTTTCCTTTTTTACATGTTTGTATTTAATTGCAATAACCACACTACAGATATATCTAAATTTTTACCGTTTGTAAAATGTAGATTTCACTTTACATGATCAGAGCTGATTAATTAGTTAGTTTGTATATGTATCCTTGTGGACATATATAATATATTTAATTCGATCGGTGTTGGAATTGGAATACTTTGATTTACCTTGCTCTACCGACCCATGCATATATATATAATGCTGACCATTTATTTTACCATAAGATTAGAGTTGAATCGATCACAAAACACAGCTTTGCTTATTAGAATTCATATTGTATATATATATATATATCATACAACTTGCATGTGATAAGAAAAGAGAGGACCCATCGAAAAAAAAAAGAGAATTGTAGAGACAAATGGTATCCCATAAGGAGAAAGCTCTTTGTCAAAATATATTGGAGCCTACAATTTAAAGTTGGCTCCTATTTTTAGTTCTCTCTACTACATATTATTTTTTTACTTAAAGGTGAAAAAAACAGACCAAAAAAGCTTAAATCTTTAAAGTCATACATGGCCAAACCAAACTCTATTCTCAAATATCCCTCATTGCGAACCATCTCATAAGTATAAGTAAATTATATATATTGCATCATCATCGTTAGATATCTTTCCTGTTAACGATGAATTTATTTTGGCAAGTTAGATTGCATGCATAGATCAGAAACCAATTCCTATTTTGATTTGGAGTTGAACATAGTTGATGTCGTCGTATTATCATTACAATGGCTATGACCATCGCTGTTAGGGTACAATTATCTCGTTGATATAGAATTATGGAATTTGGGTTTTTTCATCCTCTTTTGTCTCGTTAATTCCAACATGTCGTTGCCTTTAATATTAACACTTTTTATATACGTTTGCTTTTCAGATTTCCCTCTTCTAGTTTGACCCCATCATCTACAAAGCTTAAACCATGCATGAAGTTGTACTGATTTGTAATTTTTCTTTCAATTAATATTTTACCAAAAGTGTGCTTAATCACACATAAAATTACATAGGGAGGGTGTTGTGTATGAATTTAGATTGGGGGCTTGGGAGTGATTCAAATTTCCCATAGGGCATGCTGTTTCAATTACTGCCTTATCTTACCGTATGTTTGATGGCTTGGACCATTCAGTTCGATCTCATAAATGCTTGTTTGGTCCATTCGACACGGTTCATATAGAATGGTATACTCAGACGATTATTTTGATTTTTTTGTTTCAATTAAATTTCACATGCTGAGGGGTACGTGTCAGAATTTATGTATCACTCATAGTCTCATAACATAGAATTTTACATACGACGGACCAGCTGAAAGGTTCATCTATTACTCATAACATGACTTTTTTTTTAATTCATGCATGCATGCGCGCAGATCATTTTACTAAGTCATGAGTATATATTATTAAACATAAAACAATGTTTGCATCGTATATTGTCGGATAATATGTCATTCGCAAGTTGCAGTCTTTTGTTATAACAATGTTTTGTTTGTACGACGTAGTTTTCTTCCTTGTGGTATTATGTCTTGACAAGACGAGAACTAAGATGATCATTTTAACCTATTTTGAAAAAGGCTTCAGAAGAGTTTTCTCATCAGCGGTTCTTAGTTAATCGTTTCTTGTTTCAGGCATTTGATTTCTTGAATTTGCGTCAAGACAAGAAGAAGTTCACCGCCAGGATTTAACGGGTGGAGTCCTTAGCTTGCTTTCCATCTCCCTCATCACAAATTAAAGAAGGTTCGTGATGATTGACGAGTGACGAGTATTCGTTGCATGTGGCATTTAAGAACGGTATCTTAGTGATGTCGAGTTCCCGTGCGGATGAAGCCTCTGAGATAGCATTCTAAAAAATGTCATTGCATATGACCATGCGCAGCGGACACTAATCCCAATATCACAGCATATATATATAGCTAATTAGCTATGAAATCTGAAAGCTCACTACAAATCTCGTAGAAAAAAAAGTTGCGCAAATCACAACAAAGTCTAGCTATATATTTCCAGCTACAATAGCCTTCCACACTCTTGCTTTTCATTAGAGCTGGGACGATAGTTTACCATCATCTTCTGTCATCCAAACTTACCGAAGCTATTAAGTAACTTATATATATATATAAGGTATGTTTCTTTTTATGCTTCTGCCGGGTTAATAGAAACTTGTTTCCAAGTCTTCCTATTGGATTTATTTATGTAATTATGATGATTGATTGATTATTTCTATAAAAGGCAACTGTATTTGTAACATGAAACAATACTATAAGTGTGTTCAACGTTATTGCTCTCTTGGCCTCACAAGGAAATTTCAAAAGATATATATACAAGTTTGGCTTGTAGTAGAGACATGTTTTGTGTCTTCTACTCTGTACGATTTGTGCAGGAGTTGATCGATTGTATTATTAAATGGACAAAAAAAACCAAATTCTTGTTTAATTCTTGAACCTGAACAAATACTAATAGGTGCATATATATGAACCTTAAACATGTTTTATTCAAAGTTTAGAGCGATTTACATAGATCTCATCGAAACAGAATAAAAAGAGAGAAGTCTAAAGAAACAACACTGATTGAACATGCAAAAGAGAAGATCAAGATCAAGATCAAGATCGGGATCTAAGAAGCTTGGGATCCGGATTTGTGGAGGTAGAGTTTTCCAAAGACGTGAAGAGCGGTGACGAAGCCGATGAAACAGAGACTCATGATCAGAACAACGGTCGGTGAGATCTTCAAGCCAGGAGCGTCATCCGTGTAGAACCTCAGCATGTTGCTCGGTCCTGATCCACCCGCGGATCCTCCGCCTGACGACACGCCCCCACCGCCTAGCCTGCGGCGTCGCATGCCGGCAGTAGCGGCCGCGGATCCACGTGGAGCGGCCATACCGGGCCGAGCGGTTGAGGAGGCGGTGGAGGTTGATTGTTGGGACTGGGAAGAGCCTCTCGCCATCGTTGTTGACTTGTTGTTACGGTCAAAAGGGAAAGAGACCAAGAGAGAAAAGGTTTATGGAGTGATCAAGAAAGGGTATAATAGTAAATAAAGTCACATCTGGGGGCGATTACTTTGGTGTAATAGAGAGACGTGTAGTTTCCTAGTAAGAAAGCTCTCTACTCCAACGACTTTTGTTAATTACGGACTTAGACCATGATTAATGGTAGTTTCTTAGCTTTTTCTTAGGGATTTATATAATTAAAATTAAATGATTAATGGTGATAAATGTTAAGAAACGTCTTTTAAGCAAGAGTTAATCTTAGAGGTAAGAGGCGACAAATGTTTAATTTTGATTGGGTTAAGAAGAAAAGAAAAAAAAATATCACACGTTCTCTCTCTTTCTCTCTTTCTCTCTTTCTCTTCTCTTTCTCTCTTTCTCTGTTGCGAAGGAGCTCATATCTGTGACGAAGAGATGCGCAAATCAGTGACAGATCTCCGATTGTAGCTCTCATATCCGTACACAACTAGTCTGAATCCCTCTATGCTTGTTCAATTTGATGTTGATTGACTGTTGGGAAATTAGGGTTCGTTGAATTGGGAATTTAGGTTTTTTTTTTTTTTTTTTTTTGTAAAACTATGATTAATCACTTGTTTGTCTGTATATTTAGCCATCGATTGTAACAGGTTTACACCAATTTAGAAGAATTGATCCGATTGTTTGTGGTGATTGTTTCGTTTACATGAATAACATGATTTTTTTTTTAAACATAATTTTTTTTTTAAGAACCACAAATTAAAAACCTACCAATAATGACATCCCAAAACAAAAACCAAAAATACAACTCTTATCTCTTATTTTTCTATACTTATTGGTAAATTAATTTTAAGATCAAGATTTAAGAGTCTACCATTAATCATGCTCTTACGGTAATGTTAATTTATAAGAATTACTGTATTAAAAGAGTTTTACTGTATTAAAAGAGTTTTTTTTTTTTTTTTTTTTTTTTTTTTTCGACAGAAAAAAAAAAAAAAGAGTTTTGCTTCTCAGTTTGGCAGATTTAATCGCCATTAGTGATCTTTAAATATCTCTAATGACAGTGCAAATGCAATTATTTATTTATGGCGCATAGAGTTATTGAACGATCACATAACTAAATCCTAAATATATTCAAATCCATCGAAGCTTCTTAGATTGGGGCTTCTCCACGTTCTTTAGCTTTGTTCAAGCTAGTTTCGATACTATGGATTTCACATTTGGGTTTCTTTTGATCCAGTTAATTTCTATCCAGAATGGGCTATTAACAAAATAGCTGGGCTACTCTTGATACACCTATTTCAGTTTCACCAAATCCTTTATAAAATAAAATCCATTGAAAATAGGAATAGCTAATTTAAAATAAAATCCACACCTACGTTTGCCACATCGTTGATACCAAAAAAGATCATTTTTTTTCTTGTTACGTGTTTTCTAAGTCATTAATTCAATGTTTTGCATAGTATAATGAGGAAAAGAGGGAAGAAGATTAAATTGATCAAGAAAAAAAAACTTCCAAAATGTTTATAAGTCTATGATATAAGTCATTAATTCAACAATGCTTATTAGTTCAGTAACTCTATACCACTACAGGTGTATATGTATATATTCAATTATTAATTAGAGGTTAATAATGTACTTATGGTGCTGTAATTATGTAATGATGATTTGTTTGCCCCATCAAATTTGAGTGTTGGCTGTAAAGACAATCCCCTTTTCTTCTTCATCTTCTATTTTCGTTTCAAAATCTTTCTTTTATATATGCCTTTTTTATATGTTGTTGATGTCATCTCATAATTATCTTGCTTGTTTTTACTTGTCTTTATTTCCTTATTATCTCATAAGTCATAATTTGAGGGGGGCAAATAATGATCATGAAGTAAGAAAAATAAGTAACATTGATTTGGCAGAAAAATGAGTTATAACTTCTTTAGTTAGACATAAGTGGTGTGCTCTGTTAGTACATGATGTGATGTCACTTGTCTCACTCGATCGTAAATGATTTGGCTAAACTTTGATCACCATTATGATCAAATTTAAAGTTACATTTTCATCATGATCACATTAGATATTATTAGATTTAGAGGGGAAAACGATCCGTGACATCCATCTTGCAAACTCATATTAATTCATATATGTTGTATCTCTTGTCGTTATTCACTTTCAACTCCTACACTGTGCTCGTTGTGATTTTATATGATTGAATTATATGAGTTAACTAGGTTTTAACCCGCGGTACACCGCGGAATTATTTTTTTGACAAAAAAATATATATTTATGTTATTTGTTAATTTATTACATTTTAGTGTTTAAGATTGTGTAACTGTATTTTTGATTGTTATTTTTATTACTTAACTCAATGGATATTTTTTTATAACTCGCAGGACTAAAAAAAATTATATTTAAGTTATATTTGTTATTTTTTTTTAACTCGTAAGATAACCCGTAAGAAAAACATAAAACTCAAACCCGTTAAATCATATTTATGTAAAATATAAACCCTGAATGTTTTATAGATTTAGAGAGAGATTTTGGTTTTTGTTTTCCAAAAACTCATTTTTAAACAATAAAGATTTTAAAATTTTGGAATCCCTAAAATTTAGTAAAACTTTTTTTTTTTGTAATCTTCCATTCAAGATTTTGGATTTTAAGTTTCATATTAGGCATATTTATAATGGTTGCGAACCATTGTCTAAAATTTTCTACCCGATGTGGGACGTTATACATATATGTTTTTTCTTTTATCGATTGAGTAATATAAGTCCGTTTTCAAAAATTCAAATTGCTACATATGCGAAAAAAATTTTGTATTTTTATTATACTTATGTTTTATGTAATAATGTAAATTTTAAAACAAATAAGATCATATAAAGATATTGGAGAGATATTCAATTTATTAGGGAGACATTTTAGGAAATTTTGTTAAATGTAATAAATGTTAGTTTGTAATTTTGCAATTCTGGTGTAATTTAATTACAAATTTTATCTTAAAAGTTTGTTATTTATTTAAATGGCAAGGATTTATTATGCAAATAATACAAAATAAAAGGTTATTTTCCAAAATGTACTTCAAAAATGTTAATATAGATTAAGAACTTTGAGATATCCCACATACAGTATATACTAGATCGATGGTTATAAACTAAAATGGATCTAGGTTTTATACCACCCAAAGAGACAAAATACTTGTTCGGTTTTGTCCCTTTTTTCTGGTTCTAGTTTATATGAATATTTCTAGAGACAAACATTTTGGCGAAAAAAAACAAATTAAACCAAGGGGTTTGAGACCTCTTTGTGATAATCTCTGATGCTCAATTAATGGAAAAGAAATGTTGTGGTCTTAATTGTTTACTCAACTTTCAAATAGTAAGAAAGGTCCAAATTGAAGGTTTAAAGTTGTTCACATCTCATGCACACTCGCAATCATACAAGATAGATTGAAAAAAAAATCAATATTGATATATTACAACAACAAGAAAAACGACGGTCTAACAATGTCGACTTCATAAGCTTTCATATAGATTTAAAAGAAAACGTACCACATACTATTTAAAATTTTTATTTCTTAAGAAAATATAAAGACGTGGTAATCCTACCTTAGTTTTAAGAAAACGATATGAAAAATAATATATTAAAAATGAAAAACGTTAATTAATGTAAATGTTAAATTCGAAACCAAAAAAGATATCAAATAGAATTATATAAAAAAATTGTGTTAAACTTGAATGAGAATATATGGTCCAGTTTGAGTCCATCACTGACCGACTTGTAATAGAACAGTTGTGTGTAAAGAGAGAGAGAGAGATTCCGTCTGAGCAAGCCTTCGTTTTTGGTGTGATCCTACAAGACTCTTCACATGTGATCAAAACTTCTCCCATCGCAATCTCTTTAACATAAAAATCCAAAAACAATAAAAGATCGTAATTTTCTTACCCCACGACCAAATAAATGAAAGTTGAATAATCATATATATCCCACTTTTCAACCCATAAGAAAAATATCTTGATTTTGTTCTTATAAGTCACAAAAGCTATACTGTCACCCATAATTACATAGATATCACTAATTACATTTCTTATACTTGTTTTCTTCTCTCCTTTCTCTCTTTCTCTGTCTTCTTTGTTATTTTAAGATTCTTGCTTGTTTAAGTAGAGGACTCTTAAACACAAACTAAAGAGTTTCTTTCTTTTTGTCTTCTTACATATATATGAATAATCAAGACATGATGATTCCACATAATGATGACCGTCTCTCGTTCTCTAGCTTTGTCCATCCACAAGAGCACATCACCCCAAATTCTAACCCTAATTCTAAGCATGCCTCCACTAACACACCCAAGAAAAAGAGAAACCTCCCAGGCAATCCAGGCATGTGTATATATTTTTCATTTGTTCTCTTTAAAATCAATATACATATAATCTTGTTCCAAGGGTAGATATTTTATGTTTTCTTGTTTCCTTCTTGATTATTATTGGTTTTAATTTTGTTTCTTACAACATGAACAACGACAAAACAGATCCAGATGCAGAAGTCATCGCTCTATCTCCAAAATCCCTCATGGCAACCAATAGGTTCTTCTGCGAAATCTGCAGCAAGGGGTTTCAGAGGGAACAGAACCTCCAGCTTCACAAACGAGGCCACAACCTGCCATGGAAGCTGAAGCAGAGAACAAACAAGAATCAGGTGAAGAAGAAAGTTTATATATGCCCCGAGAAGAGCTGCGTCCATCATGATCCAACTCGTGCCCTAGGAGACCTCACTGGAATCAAGAAGCACTTTAGCAGGAAGCATGGAGAGAAGAAGTGGAAATGCGACAAGTGTTCCAAGAAGTATGCTGTGGTATCCGATTGGAAAGCTCATACCAAGATTTGTGGTAGCAGGGAGTTTAGATGTGATTGTGGTACCCTCTTCTCCAGGTCATTAATACTCTTTCAGTCTTTCTATGTCTTGAATTGAAGTATTATCATTTCCCAAAACTTGCATCAAACTCTTTTGAAAACGATAATCTTTAGGTTTGCATATTTATTTGTTGTCTTTAATAAAAAAAAAAAATATAAACGTAAACAAAAACGCAAATCTATACATATTTGTATTTATGAAACAAACCGGCGGGTCCTATAACTGGACATCCTAAACAGGTGCATGTATGCATAAAGCATGAGACAGCCTTTGTTATCAAAAGTTATACTATATATAAAAAGAGATTCCTTTTGTTTGTACTATCAATAGTCAAACCGTGTTTTTTTCTTTCCTTTTTGCATTTTCATACACGTAAATTAATAACGAACTTTAGATCTATAAGTTATTGGGTACGTTAAGTCTAGTACATCATGCTCGTAGCTTTGTCGTTTGGATACCACTACCGTTAATTATTTCATGGCTTGTCTTTGTCTTGTTCCAGTTTGTAGTTTTATATAGACATCAATTATCGAGGAGAAAAAGGCTGCATGATTAGAACATTACGTGGTCATGTTTTAATAATAACCTAAAGTCTTGTGTTTCCACCTTACTAGTTACTAAATACACCAATTTGCATTTATTTAGTAAAGATTTTACACATATATATATATATATATATATATATATATCGTTTACATAGTCAGCTTGCTTTTTTAATTAAGACTTACACATATTATATACCTATATGAACATAATTCCAATAATGTATAATTTGGTTATAACTGTATCAGGAAGGATAGCTTCATCTCACATAGATCCTTTTGTGACGTCTTAGCTGAAGAAAGTGCTAAATTTTTCTCAGTTCCATCACCTTTAGCCGCCAATTCGACCATCTCCACAGTTGCTGATACCAATAATCCAGTTCTTATTCAATCACTCACATGTACGGCCGATCTTAACGTCAACAACAATCACTCCACCTTGTTGGGAAAAAAGTTCATCAACTCCGAGCCAATCCCGCAACGAGCCAATGCTTTTGCGTTTTCGCCACCACCAACACCTCGTGGTACATCTGATAATTCGGTTCATAATCTATGGAAGTTACAAGAAGAGGAATGTTCACACCAGTCGTTACTCAATGGGTATATGAACAACAACAAAAACATTAGCCATAAAGGAATATCCCAAAATCAAGAAAATGCGATCATCAAGAAGGGAAATATCTATAGCGGCTCAAACTCAAGCGATGCGAACATAGCATCCTTGTTCTCTTATAATCAAGAAGCAGGGAACCTGGCTTCATTGTCGGCAACAACATTGCTTCAAAAGGTGGCTGAAATGGGATCATCATCCCGTTCCGACACTGGCACCCTCTTGGGACTAATGACTTCCTCCATCTTCAACAATAGGATGCCAAACTCCGATTGTTTAAAGGCGAAGAATAAGAAAGAAGAGTGGACCAGAGACTTTCTTGGTGTTGGGAAGCCGTGACGACCAACAAGATCTACTTTATCACCATCACTTCCTATCAAGCGTGCCACTGAAGGTGAGCCATATGATATAATTCCCAAGTTGGCCTTAATTAACCATTGTAGGCGGGGAAGCAACCGTAGGCATGGCTTCAGTTTCTATGTTCGTGTCTTTATAGTTGTATTTAAGGATATGTGAATTTTCAGGCTTTCATTAGGAAAAATACACAAAAAAAACAAAAAATCTGAAGCGACAAGTACTCAAAATCTTTAATCAACAATATGTTACTAATTGATTATGGTTATAGTACTGTCAGAGCCACCAATCGCAACTGTTGGAATAATGAATTGGTTATATATATTAAATTAAAGAGACGAATAACAATAACATATGCTGTAAAATAAATATATTAATTTTCCATTACGATTTTGGAATCCTTAATTGCCTACAAATTAAAGAAACGAAAACCAAAAAATATCACACTTAGTGAGGAACAAAATCAGCCATCATCACTGACAACAAACAACATAGGCACCGGCGTCGGAGACATGGTTGTCTTGTACAACGAGTGCCTTAAAAACCACGCGGTCAGTCTCGGTGGCCACGCCCTTGACGGCTGTGGTGAGTTCATACCCAAGTCCACCACCATCCTAACAGAACCTCCGTCCCTTAGGTGCGATGCTTGTGGCTGCCACCGCAACTTCCATCGTCGTAGTTCTTCTGAGGTCTTCAGTCACCACCGGTCACCACCGCTGAAGCCGCTCGCCTCCACTCCGCACTTGCTTCTTTCTCTCAGCTCCGATTTCTCTGGACCCGGAGACAAAGATAGGTCGGCGGTGATGAAGAAGCGTAAGAGGACAAAGTTCACGGCGGAGCAAAAGGAGAAGATGAGAGGATTCGCAGAGAGAGCGGGGTGGAAGATGAACGGCTGGGATGAGAAGAGGGTGAAAGAGTTTTGTGGCGAAGTTGGAATAGAGAAACAAGTTCTTAAGGTTTGGATCCATAACAATAAGTACTTATCCAACGTGAAGAACAGAGACACTACGTCATCTACGTCCTCTATGTCTTTGAAGCTGTAAAGATATATATATATATCTAAACTGTAATGAGGTTACTGTAGTCTCTTATGATCTGACCTGAAGTTTATCCTAGAAGACTTTTCTTTTGAGTTTGAACTTGTAATCAGTCGATGATCATGATTCATGACTCATGACCTATATATGGATATTTAAATATGTAGCATTTACTTAAAGCTGTCTTGGTTTAAAAGTATTTACGTTGCTAATAATTATAGTGTAACAAACTAATAACAATGCTGTTCCCAACATGGTTTCTTCAATTACCAAGAAGTTCCGAGGCTTTTTGACTTGTAATCTTTTCGTTTTCGGATTAGCTAGAGAAGTACTATTTTAGGTCAATATATATAGGCCCTTCCATTAATAATGGAGACTTGAACTAGTGACATTGAGCAATACTCCTTGTTTGGAACAGTAAAATTCAGGATGTGATTCATTGATATGCTACTATAAACGAATCTCCTGAGCTTTTTAGGGCCAAGTAGTCTTAAAACTAGTGACATATACGTTGTTTAGGAATATTAATTTGTTCATGTGGACGACGACACTTCTCATCATTCTCATCTCTTATTTTGTCTTTTTCCGTTTAAGGATAAAGCTTTTGTAAACAGCCCGTCTCCTAGTTTGTCCTAATTAAGGATTATGCAGATATTTTTTTATATATATATTGTAAATCCGTGGCTCTTCACGCACAGCTTGAAGTATTTGTTGGTCTTTTGATTCCTTCTCATCAGAATTAAGCTCCTAGTTGGGTGTGATATTTAATGAATGATCCTTTTGGTGGAGGTGGAATCATCAACCTATGACGTTTTAAGTTTTGATTCCAAATTATAAAGACATTGTTTTTGTTGGAAAATTTAATTGATTTGTTTTTTTTTTTTTTTTTTTTTTAATTCTCTGTGCGTGTGTTGAATATAGTATCACATTACAACAAATTTAATCGACCGGACTTTAATTCTTCTAGATTTGCAATGTGGCATACTGATTTATATTGTCTTATCTAACTTTGACACCGTTTTCTTTGGCATGAGTTTTGATTTCTGAAATCCTTTTTCTTTCTTGGTTCACCAATTTTTGGAATCAAGATTTTGAATTTACATATTATGTAATTATTGTATCTATCTATATCAAACAAAGTATCGGGATAATTTTCATATTATCATATTTATGTTGGTTAGGAGCTTTGACTTAGTTTTTAAGATATATAAAAAGTACAAACGAGATCGTAACACAAGTGTACAAATTTCACCTCTCACCAAAATGGAAATATATTTTTTTCAAAAGATGAAAATGGAAATATTACAAAAAAAAAAAAAACAGATGAGAGTGTTTGATTAATACAAACTCGTATAGCCCAAGAGACAAATATAACCCCAAAAATCACCCACATGACACAAAATCATGAGTAATAATAACACCATACACAATTTTTTATCATCACAAATAAAACCATGCGAACATTACGCTTATGATGCAAAACGACACCGCCTGACACACAGAACCAACGTTACGCGAAGCAAACGAAGCATCTGCCGGCGAATCATCACCGGAACTATCACTGTCGTCCTTCTTCTTCTTTGATTTGGTGGCCGACGGAGCCGGAGCCGGAGCTGGAGGACGAGGATCGAAAACTTGCTGAGGAAGCAAAACCTTATCGACCTGGTAAACAGCGAGCTGTCCATCGCTGTAGACATTTCCGGAGACGGTGGTGTTGGTTACACCGGTCGTGATATTTACCGTATTGCCACTGGTGGTAACGTTGAGAGGAAAATGTCCTTCGGCGGAGTCACCGGCCTGGGTCCGGAGAGGGTTGCTTATTGTTTGGAAGTTAGTGGAAGAGACGTAACTTGGTATGACGTGAAACTGAATCAGCTCTACTTGTTGCTCGTCGTTTAAGGAGTTTAGGGTTCCGGCTTTGAGGCCGGAGAATGAGGAATCGCTAGGTGCAAAGATAGTGATGCCGTTGTCGGAGTTGTTTAGTTGGCCGTAGAGTTGGTTAGCAACGCCGGTTGATTTGAGGAGTCGGATGAAGACAGTGAACTGTCCTGCTTTTTCTAGGATTTTAGTGACATTTGTTGGTCCTGCTGGAGCCGGTGCGGCGGCTGGAGAAGGCTGAGATAGGGTTCCGGGAGTTGTGGTTATGAGGAGGAGGAGGACGGTGAAGAGGAGGATTGTGAGAGACTGTTCCATGGCGGATCTTTGTGTGTTTCAAGAGTGTGTTGTTATTTATGTTTGTGTGAGATATGAGTTTTGTGGTGATATGAAGAGTAAGGTTTATATTGAAATGGGGGAAATTGATTGGTTAGGAGGTCAACATTCTTACAACTAAGTTGATAATTAATAATAATCAATGATGATTATTTTCTTCCCCTACACATCTTATCAGATGAATTGTTTTACCTCTTCGGGCAAAATTATTTGATATAGACTATTAAGCTGTTGATACAAAAAGAGGACATACATTTTACTGGTTATATATGTAAAAAGTTATAAATTGGTTTTTGTATCAAAGAAACTAATAAGATAATTAATCAAGTTCTAATTGATTATTACCTTTTAACAAACAGAGCTAATAATTTAAGTGGTAACAAACGTATGGTTGGCAATTTGGCATGACGGTGATAATGTATATACTTACACAAAAGTGTGTGTGTGCAAAAACATAAAAGAGGTCATGATTACTTAGTTTGTAATTATCAAAATCCTGTGTATGGAACGGTGGGAGGAATAATGGAGAATGTGGTGTGGTGTGGTGTGGTGTATGATAATGTAAGGAGCAACTTGCAACCTTTGCTTGAAAATTAAGAAAAAGCAAACAGAAATTGATTTGTGGTGGGCTCTCTTTAATTTTTAGCATATTCGCGTATGTCAACTTCAATTTTTTTTGGCTAAAATAATGTAACCATAGTACATTTTGTATTAGTCAATAATTAGAAAAGAGATAAAACAATGATCAAATGTGTTTTCCACGACACTATAAGCCCAAATTAGTAAATTATTCGAGTTAAACACTTCGTATATTGGGAGGGAGCTAGGGAGATTTGTGAAGGTGGGTGCGTGTGAATTCGTTTTTGTAAGTAAGTGTGGGCATAATGAAAACAACATTGTTATCTTACTATGATGTTTATGCTTTCATCAGATTTGATTTTGATTGTTCCTCGCATCTGCTTAATTACTATTGTTTCTAGACTACTGTAACTGTGTCTTTTTCTTTTTTAATTAGTTGCATTTTATATTATTTAGAATAATATGGCTCACTGGATTGTATATAGTAATTGTTAAAAAAAATATATAGTTCAAATACTGTGTTTGTTACATTAAAAGAAGAAGCAACAAAAAAAAAATGCATACTAACTTAAAATGTCTTAAGCGGAGACATTAATTACAAATTTGATTAAACCAAGAAGAAAGTTATCAAAATCACAAATCAGCCAATTTCTCTCGTCCCCTAAAAACCAGGCGTATCATATGCTCATTCCATTTGCATTCCCTCCACAAAGAACAAACTTTTGTTTATATTGTCACTAACAACAAAATTCCCAATTAATGTTCTTGAATAGATTCTCCCCCTCCCCCATAAGTTGATATGAATACAGGAGAAGAAGTTGGTGAATTCACTCAAATCTTCAGTGCTTTGGTGAGTCTAATGAGGAAGTTCATATTCAGAGTTCTATGTGCGGGTCCAATACCTACTCACATCTCATTCATCATGGATGGAAACCGCAGGTTCGCCAAGAAATACAATCTCACAGGCCTCGACGCAGGACACAGAGCAGGTTTCGTTTCCGTGACATATGTTCTTCAGTACTGCAAAGAGATTGGTGTACCGTACGTTACACTCTACGCTTTTGGTATTGATAATTTCAAGAGAGGACCTGAAGAAGTCAAGTGCATCATGGATCTTATGCTGGAGAAAGTCGAGCTCACTATCGACCAAGCTCTTACCGGGAATTTGAACGGCGTCAGAATTATCTTTGCCGGTGATTTGAATTCGTTAAACGAGCGTTTTAGAGCTGCGACTCAGAAACTGATGGAGCTTACGGAGGAGAATAAAGATCTTATTGTTGTCGTTTGCGTTGCTTACAGCACAAGTCAAGAGATTGTTCATTCTATTCGAGAATCTTGCATGAGAAAGTGCAAAACTGGAGATGGTCCTGTAGTTTTGGAGGTGAGTGATGTTGAAGAGTGTATGTATACATCAGCTGTCCCGGATCCGGATCTTGTGATAAGAACCGGTGGAGGAGATCGGCTTAGTAACTTCATGACGTGGCAAACGTCGAGGTCACTTCTTCACAGAACGGAGGCTCTTTGGCCGGAGTTAGGTCTCTGGCATTTGGTTTGGGCCATTCTTAAATTCCAGAGAATGCAAGGTTACTTGCAAAAGAAGAAAAAGCTCGACTAAATAGTTTTTAAGTTAAACTTAAATCCTAGAATGAACTTTTAACCATTACGTTTGATTTACTTGTTTTTCACAGACAATAAACTTATGAATAGAAACGAGAAAGCACCATAAAAAATCATTTTCATTATATATTGGATCGGAATAACAAATAAGAAGACACAAAACATCGATATAATTGGTTTTAACAAGGCTATTAGAGGCTTAATTTAAACACAAGATTTGGCAACAAAAGAAGCAAACAAAATCCATAAAGTTTTAGTACTTAGCCAATCCAAGACAAGATTTTGCTTGGAACCTGCAGACTTTACAGAGAGGTAAGAACAGGGGAGGAGTTTGGTTCTTGTCTTCTCCACCCATCGCTCCGGTCTTCTTGGATTGATTTGAGGCCACATGTTCCTTTATTACTCTTTCCATTTTGAATCTGCCATCTAATAACATAAAGGCAATCAGTGATCTTGGAGAGAATCATCTATATAAGGTTACTATAGATTCAGCTAAAGGTGTACTTCTCTCTTATTGAGGAGACCTAGCGGTTCTTTCCATTTGCCAGATATCTTGGTTGGTTTGGGATTTAAGTCAAAATTTCTTGTAGTGGGTTTTCAGCTTGAAGGTGAAGAAAGTGAGTTGATGTTACAGACTACAGATTCAAGGTTCTTTTACTCCAAATAGCCAGACATAGGTCCCTGCAACTTTGTTACCGAAATGTCTTCTGCTTTGAGCCTCTCTAATGGACCTCTTTATTAGTCATCTGGTTCAAAACCATTACAATCTTATTGTGCAGAGATTAAGTTTCTTGAACTACATATCTAACCACTATCTACTTTTTTTACAATGTGCAAGACCAAAACATTTCTCTGTTATCATTTAAAGAGTTAGATATATACTTTTAAGAATATGGTTTAAAATGTCTTAATCTTAACCACAGAGAAATTGCATATTTGATTAAACCAAGAAGAAAGTCATGAATCACTAATCACCCAATTTCTCCCTTCCCCTAAAATTAGCCGAATCATATGCTCACTCCGTTTGCATTCCCTCAAAAATAAACTACATTTCTTCTGTTTATATTCATTCACTCATTACAAAACCTAAAACCCCCATGTTCTTGAATTCTCCCCTCCTGTAACCATACCCATATTATAATTAAGTATGAATAATACCACAGAAGAAGTAGGCGAATTCACTCAAATCTTCAATGCTTTAATGAGTCTAATGAGGAAATTTATATTCAGAGTTCTACGCGTTGGTCCAATCCCTACTAACATTTCATTCATCATGGATGGAAACCGCAGGTTCGCTAAGAAACGAAATCTTGAAGGCATTGACGCAGGACACAGAGCTGGTTTCATATCCGTGAAATATATTCTTCAATACTGCAAAGAGATTGGTGTACCGTACGTCACACTCTACGCCTTTGGTATGGATAATTTCAAGAGAGGTCCTGAAGAAGTCAAGTGCCTGATGGATCTAATGCTGGAGAAAGTCGAGCTCACAATCGATCAAGCTCTTACCGGGAATATGAATGGAGTGAGAATTATCTTTGCCGGCGATTTGAATTCATTAAACGAGCGTTTTAGAGCTGCGACGCAGAAACTGATGGAGCTTACAGAAGAGAATAGAGATCTGATTGTTGTGGTTTGCGTTGCTTACAGCACAAGTCAAGAGATTGTTCATTCTGTTCGAGAATCTTGCCTTAGAAAGACTAAATTTAGAGATGATCCTGTAGTTTTGGATGTGAGTGATCTTGAAGACTGTATGTATACATCAGCTGTGCCGGATCCGGATCTTGTGATAAGAACCGGTGGAGGAGACAGGCTGAGTAACTTCATGACGTGGCAAACCTCTAGGTCACTTCTTCACAGAACGGAGGCTCTTTGGCCGGAGTTAGGGCTTTGGCATTTGGTTTGGGCCATTCTAAAATTCCAGAGAATGCAAGATTACTTGCAGAAGAAGAAAAAACTTGAGTGAATAGTTTCTAAAGTTAAACCCTAAAACGAACTTTAACCCTTATACTTGTTTTACATGTTTCTTTCCGTGCAAGAAACGTCGAAACTAAAAACCCGAAGAAAATCCTTTTTATTATGTATCGGATCCAAATAGCAAACACAAAGACATAGAACATCGATGATAATCTTTCGATTTAACGATGCTAAAACACTACAATTAGGGGCTTAATTTAAACACAATTTGGCAAACAAAAAACAAACATATCCTTTTTTAAGGTTTTAGTACTTAGCCACTCCGGGACCAGGTTTTGCTTGGAACCTACAAACATTACAGAGAGGTGAGAACAGAGAAGGAGTTTGGTACTTGTCTTCTCCACCCATCATCGGCATCGGGACTCCGGTCTTAACCGGACTAATGTATCCAGGTCTGTATGTTTTACCCAACACGCCCTCGACGAGATCACTCAGGTCAAAAAACTTAAACTGAGTCTCTAGATGAGCAAAAACATCATCTTTAGGAATCTGATAGTTATGAACTCTGTCTTCTTCTTTCCCGATTGGTCTAACCTTAATATCCATCTGAACAATCCCAGATACCGTAACTCTCACGTTATTCCTCTCATCTGTTCTCTCAACAACAACTTCCCTTTCTTCAAGATTTATTCTCCACTCTGCTTCACCTTCTGTCGGAACTTCAACTTCTTCTCCGTTCCATCTCACCACGAGAGAGTCTACAGAATCGTCCCAAGAAGAAACCTTCTTGGCGGCGATGACGAGGTTATGACTATCGAACATCACTGAGAAGGCTTGAACCCATGTGAAGTCTCTGGTTCTACCAGCAGGTCTTGTACCAATGAAATGTGCATTGATTTGAAGATTATCGTCAGAAACGATGGCGAAGTTCCCGTCTTTGTTTCCGTGGAAGTAGAACATCACACCGTCTCCTCCAACAAATCTCGGGTCGTAACACAAAGATCCATATCCGTTGCAGTTTGCTATTCTCCCTATTCAAGAACACAATGCAAACCAAGATTAATACGCGTGTTACGTTAGGAATTATATAAAAGAAAACTACATTATGGAGCTTTGAAAATGTTCCAAGATATATGTTGAGGTTGGAGCTTACATTTGCAGGTGACTTCACATTTGCTGCTACAATCAATGAAACAAGCTTTTTCCTTCTTGTTCATCTTTGGTTTCCTCTCGGGGCATTCCTTAGGACAAGTGAGGATCTTTTGGTTACAAGATCCTCTCGCCAAGCATTGAACTCGCTCTTGGCCCGTGCCAAGTGGATACAAAACCTTGTAGTTGGTTGAAGCTGCGTCATAAGCACCCTTCTTCACTTTCTCCGTTGCAGAAACCGCCAAAACAGAGACAAGAACGATAATAGTCACAAGGACCCGCGACATTTTCTTTTATGTTTTGAAAAGAAACAGTCCTCCTTTGTCGTTATATCTCTTAGGATCTTGATATGAGAGCAGTGGAGGGGAGTGTGTACTTATAGATCAGAGAGGCTAGAAGTAAGCAGCAGAGAGCGGCTTAATTAACGGTCCAGATTTGATCAAAGATCACATGAAGAATCGAAGACCGTGTAAGAAACAGCTTCGACTTTTGTTTATTAATTCCTCTAATTAGGAGAACAGCCACTAGATTCGAATTCAAGCTATAGAAAATTATGTATTAATTTCTTAGAAGGGAAAAGTCAGCCTATAGAATTCTTAAGTACAAACTGTCATATAAATCATTAATAAACACAAGAGGTCGGCGCTAACAATCTTAAGATCGATCATGCGCTACATCATTATGGAAATAACAAAGCTTGACCAATCCCATAAGAATTTCAAGACTATTATCTAAACAATTGCTATATATTTAACTTCAGAAAGATACTTATAGAGTTAAACATGTTTCAGCTAGTTGATATAGGACATTATTAAAAGTAATATTAACATTACCAATATGGAGTTCAACTTTTTCACATTATCTCTGCTCGCCGTGGACAATGTTTACCCACAATCTATATATATATTCGTCAATTTTAAGGCTAAAAATGGGAACCCATCGATCACGGATCTTAATTCTTAATTTATAACGAAAAATCAAACCACGAGTGATTGCACTAACTAATCATCATTGTGGAGTTGACAATTTATCTATTAATTCCATATACTTGTAAAATTATGATTGTATAGAATTGAAGCCATGTAATCATGTGATGGGTAAAGATAATTTAATTTCCTTGGATCACATGAACTATGCCTAGAATTTTGCAAACTTTTCTTTTGCGCACTACCTTATTTGATTATTTAAATATGAGTTTCTTGGCTATTGGCTTATAAAGTTTAAGAGAAAAGAGTGCTCCAGAAGCATCTCCAGCTTGTTCTTGAGAACCCCCAAAAAAGCACTTGCCTTCAAAGTGAGGAAGATACAAATAAAACGGGAACCAAGAAACTTAATGTCAGATTCAAATTCATGAATTTACACACACAAACAATTTTCTTTTTAATTGTTAGATAAACGTACTACTAATACGTATACAAAATACAACAAACGAGCAAGGAAAAAATAAGAAATTAAGGGTTTGCTTCTGGCGCAAGAAACGTCTTACATTTCTTAAACCCTCAAAAACATCACAAACGGGCCAAATATTATCTTTTTGGCTCTTATTACATTACCTTTTATGAATATAAAATATTTCCAGAAACAAAACAGTTACCAATACGAATTTTTCATGAATTTATTTAAAAATCATAGATGTTTCCATTAGATATCAGCAGAAAGTGATTCTTCTTGAGGTTTGAACCTGCAGAGTCTGCAAGTCGGCGAGAACAGAGAAGGCGTTTGGTATTTGTCTTCTCCCCCCATCACAGGCATTGGAACTCCAGTCTTGGCAGAGCTGACGTAATCAGGACGGTAGGTTTTCCCCAACACACCCTCAACGAGCTCACTTAGGTCTAAGAATTTGAACTGAGTCTCGAGATGGGCAAAAGCGTCATCCTGTGGCAACTGGTAGTTGTGAACTCTGTTCTCTTCTTTCCCTATCGCTCTCACTTTGATGTCCATCTGAACGAGTCCAGAGACAAGTAATCTGACGCTGTTCCTCTCGTCGGTTCTTTCAATGATGATCTCTCTTTTTTGTCCTGAAATTTCCCTCCATTCGGACTGCTCGTCTTCAGGGAGTGTGATGAGTTCTCCATCGTATCTGATGGTAAAGGCGTCAGATGTTTCATCCCATTGATTCACTCTGTTGGCTGTGATCACGAGCTTGTGGTTTTCGAACATGACATTTAGGGCTTGAACCCATGTGAAGTCTCTGGTTCTTCCAACTGGTCTTGTCCCGATGAAGTGAGCGTTGATCTGGAGTTTGTCGTCTGAAACGATGGCAAAGTTTCCACCTTTGGATCCGTGGAAATAGAACATCACACCGTCTCCTCCCACAAATCGAGGGTCGTAACAGAGAGATCCGTAGCCATTGCAGTTCGTTTTTCTCCCTGTAAGAAAGAAAGAAGCCAGTATTATGCCAAGTTACTTGAGTTAGAAGCATACCAATTCCTTGTACCACAAATAATCAATGTTAATTAGAATCCGGATAGCATACTACTTTGCGAGAAGTAAACTGATTAATCTAAAACAAAGGAGACCGAGTGAAAAGAATGTGCTTACATTTGCATGTAGCTTCACATTTGCTAGTGCAGTCAATGAAGCAACCTTTGGTGTTCTTGTTCTTCTTGGGCTTCCTCGTGGGACATTCACCTGGACAAACAAGAGTCTTGTAATAACATGCTCCCCTAGCCTGGCACATCGCCTGCTCTTGTCCTGTAGGCAATGGTGTTAGTACCCTGTATCTTGCAGCTGCTTCACTCTGCTCCTTGTCCTTCTTCTCCTTCTCTTTCCTCTCTTTTTCCTTCTTCTCTTTTTCCTTCCTTTCCTTGTCCTTCTTTGCCTTCTCCTCCTTATCCTTCTTGTCCTTATCCTTCTTGTCCTTCTTCTCCTTTTCCTTATCTTTCTTCTCCTGTTCCTTGTCCTTTGGACCGTTACCGTTACCTTTGCCTTTGCCATAATCTCCTCCGCCTTTACCCTTGTCTACCTGTCCCTCGTTCCCCTTGCCGTTATTACCATTGCCTTTGCCGCCATCGCTCGCTGCAATGACAATATCGGTCAAGAGAAGCAATGCAAAGAGCGCGACAAGCACATATGACTGTCTGCGCTCCATTTCTCAAGTTCAAGCCTTCTCTTCTTCTTTTTCTTTCTGCTTGTTGTTCTTCTTCTTTGGTTTCTCAAAATGTTTCTGTGTGTTTTTGGTGTGGTGAAATGTTGTTGCAGAAAGAGGGATTATATAGCGTGGAGAAAGAAGTAAGTTGACTTAATAAAACCTCATATGATAATATCCCTTGCTTCATCTTTAGAAAGAAGCCGACTCTTTGAGTTCATCTCAAGTCGTCTCCATTAATTTCTTAACAAAAAACATAGCTTGATTAAGCTTCAACATCAAGACTTTTAGCTAAAAATAATTGTTTAACTAGAATTAGCTGTACATATAACATCAGTTCACATTATTTTTTACCCTCTTTTTTACTTATCTATAACCAAAACTCTTCACCGTTTTCATAGTGACTTGCTAATATTATTTAATTTAGATTACTATGTATAGAACTCTGAATTATTCTTTTAGGCTTTTCAGTCCCAAAGTTTGTTCTTGATCCCTTTCTCTGCAAGGAAGCGAGTAGTGAATACGTGAGGGTGCCTTAAATGAAGAAGAAAGCCCTCATGTCTAATGTGTGCATTTTAAGAAACTTTTTTGACTTTTCATTGGCCCAAAGCCGCCCACTATTGCAAGATTGCACCTTTTCGAGAAAGCAAAGAAAAGTCAAACTTGGCCAAAGTCAGCTGACCGGTTAATAATTAACCGGCTCAATCATCCTCATAACTAGGAACAACACCATACCAAGTTACACTACCTAAGTTTGTTCTGTCCTGTCCTGTGGCCATACTGATCTCATTCTTCTAAATCTCAATTCTTAGCCAAACGCCCTTCCACAATTCACAAGGCACATACCAAACTGAACCAGGAAATCTGTTTGAGATTCAACAGTACACAAAGTTAAATCAAGAAACAGTTACATGAATCCATTAAGGAGTCATGTGAAACTTTCTTTGTGTACAAATTGCAAACTAGCTTGCAAAATTACCAAAACATCTTTAAAAGAAAAAGAATCTGACACTTTCTAAAGGTTTATTTCAAGAGAAGTAAGTGGACTTCTCTCTATTCAATTATTGAAATATAGGAAGATCAGGCTTAGCTTGCTCCGGACCGGCGCTTATTTCTCCAACAGATACAATAGTGCTAATACTGCTTGAAGAAGCTCCGTGTTCAATCTCGTTCGTCATCTTAATGAAATAACTGTGCCTGGAAAATGAAACCAGAAAGAGTAAGATCCGCAGAGCATATAGAACACTACTGAAGATATCAAAAGACCAAGAAAAAAGTTAACTAATTACCATCGCGTGTCTGCAGTTAGCTCGGGATGAAAAGCTGTTGCTAACAAGTTTCCTTGCTTCACAGCAACAATCACTTTTGTTTCAGGAAGAGCATCTTCCTGATTTATCCCCGAAAATATGAAACCAACAAGAAGGAATCCATTCATTTGCTCACAAAAAGGTAATAATCTGTTCACAAGCATTGGTGCAAAATTACACAAACCTCTTGGATTTGTACGGTAGAGCTTGAATACAAGACCTTGTTTGATGGGACGGGATAATCTGCCAGGACTTCGACGTCAGGACCCACATCGAGAACAGCTGGAGCACGTATGAACACTCCCCGATATGTCTCTGACCCACCTTCTTTAGATGTTAGTTGAGGTACTGAGATATCAGCTTCAAAACTTTGAATCTACACATGGAAAACAAATATAAGAACAATCAACAAGTTTCACATGGTTAAGATCATATTTGATGGTAGTAGTGATTTCATGTGAAATAAGTCAATCAGAGACCTACAATTCTTTTAACTCCAATGGAACTCTGATGAAAAGACCGAGTTTTTACTACAACTCATCAAGGCTCATGCCGATTTACTTTTTCCACATTTAACAAGTAGTATTGATTTACATATCCTATATACACATCTCTTAACATGAAACTTGGAACCTCGGAAAAAGAGATACCTGGCTGCCAAAGAAGTTCCGATGCACGGTGCAATCAAGGCCACCGACTAATTCCTGACCTCCCTCTTTCTGACCTGAAAATTGTAAACATCATCAAGTTTAACGTTTGTAACTTTTCAGCAACACCAATGACAGGAAGATGAATTAAAGAAGTACTCACCAACGGCTCTATCTGCCAAGAATATAAGTCCCGCGCATGTCCCCCAAACCGGTTTCCCCGTCTTAACAAAGTCACGTAGAGCTGGGAACTTCAAAAGAGCAAATGCAAGAAAATTAGA